GTTTACACATCCTCGTATTATACAATTGGAAAGTATCTACAATGTCTTAACTTATAATATTATAGATATTCCTAATTTAGAAAACGTAACATATGATGTAGATTTCACTAGTGTAATGCTCTTTACTGTTGATAGTAATCGAATTTACTATTTCATTCACATTCTTAGATGTTCATCCTGCATTTGCTCAATATCTCGCTGAAACGACTTATTCTTGTGATTATATTCAATCTATTCCTTCTACTAACACCACCATTATCCTACCAAATTGGACTTGTAATGAGGTAAACTATACAACATTTGATTTCTCTCGATTCACTGATCTTGAATATTTGGAAATCGGAAGTGATAGTTTTGGTTTTGTAGAAACATTTAATATGGATGATATGCATAAATTGACAACATTGATAATAGGCAGTTCCTCGTTTACTGAAAGCAAATATGCTGAAGATAATCGTGTACATAAATCATTCCACGTAAAGAATTGTGAACTATTGGCATCCATTGAGATTGCGGGTAATGCTTTTTCAGATTATGCAGGTGAATTTGAATTAGCAAATCTTCCTACATTAAAGACAATCAGTATTGGTTCCACAAATTATTTCTCCAATAATTTCTATCATAGTTCATTTGTAGTTCGAGGTAATTATAGTTTTCAGAACTGAAATCATTAGATCTTCCCAGGTTGGAGTCTATTGTGCTTGGTATGAATGTATTCCAAGAATCCATGAACACAATAATCGAAGGTATATCACACTGCGTATACATTATAAATCGTAGACTTACCTTCCTTAAAAACGATAAATGTGGGACACAATTCTTTAGTGGGAGTTCATAATGATACATCATGTTCATTAGTTATGAGAAGTAATTATTGTATTGTCCAAGTAATAATAAGATCTCCCTAATTTAACTTCTTTGATTTCTGATTCTGAAAGCTTTGACTATCAACGTATTATTATTTTGGAAAGTAAAAGAGAATTGTTGTTATTACTCTCAGATATACCCAATATACAAGAATTTTCGGAATATGTAACCTTTGACCATGCTCTTATTACTTCAGTCAAAAGTAGTTACAAATATTGTCTCCATTATATATTTAGATGTGAATCCTACACTTGCCAAGTATTTTGCGGAAACTACTCATTCTTGTGATTATATTCAATCCATTTCGTCGTCTAACTCTACAATCATTTTGCCAGATGGGACTTGTAACGAAATGAACTATACAACATTTGATTTCTCTCGATTCACTGATCTTGAATATTTGGAAATCGGAAACAATAGTTTCGGTTTTGTGGATACATTCATCATTGATGGATTAAGCAAACTAACAACGTTAATAATAGGAGGAAACTCATTTACGGAAATAAAGAATGGTGCTGCAAATAACCCTGATAAGTCATTCCACATAAAGAATTGTCAATTACTAACATTGATTGAAATTAACGACAATAGTTTTTCCGATTTTTCAGGTGAATTTGAATTGGTAAATCTCCCATCCTTAAAGTCAATCAAAATTGGTAATGCCGATATGTTATCAAATAGTTTCTTCTATAGTCCATTCATTATTCGAGGTACTTATTTGATTGGTTGTTTTGAGGTGTATAGATTTACCAAGTTTGCAATCTATTGAATTAGGCATGTATGCATTTTGTGAAACTGAAACTGCTATCATCCAAGGTACAAAATGTTTTGAATCAGATATTACTTAGACCTTCCTTCTTTAGAGTCAATTAGTCTGGGAGAATTATCTCTAGCTGGTAATTTGGATATGTCTTGTTCGCTGACAATGAGAAGTAATATAACTGAAGAAATGTCAACTAGATCTTCCAAATTTGACGACTATTGTTGATAATTATTATGGATCTCTATCTAGTTTTATGATAGTAACGCTAGAGAGTACATGAATAATAATAATAATAACTGTTAGATATTCCTAATTTGCAAAATGTGAATGCATACAGTTATTTCGATTATACTCTCATTGCTACTATTAACAGTGATTCTTCGTTTGTTCATTCACATTCTTAGATGTTCATCCTGCATTTGCTCAATATCTCGCTGAAACGACTTATTCTTGTGATTATATTCAATCTATTCCTTCTACTAACACTACCATTATTCTACCAAATTGGACTTGTAATGAGGTAAACTATACAACATTTGATTTCTCTCGATTCACGGATCTTGAATATTTGGAAATCGGAAGTGATAGTTTTGGTTTTGTAGAAACATTTAATATGGATGGACTGAATAGTCTGAAAACATTGAAAATAGGTCCGAAATCTTTCACACATTATAAGAATTATGATTACTTTTATCCTGGATCTTCATTCCACATAAAGAATTGTGCATTATTGGAATCCATAGAAATAGGAAGAAACAGTTTTTCTGATTATTCAGGTGAATTTGAATTAGAAAATCTTCCTTCATTACAGACCATCAGTATTGGTGATATGATGAATGATGATTGGTCGTCACATAATTTTTACTCTTCTTCATTCCTTGTTAGAGGTATAAATAAAGAATATATGTAATTGATTAGATGCTCCAGTACTGCAATCAATGAAATTGGGTTTATATTCTTTCAATTCTGCGGATCATATTATAATGGAAAGTATTCAGCCGTATTATTAGTGTTATTTATGTAGATCTTCCATTATTGCAATCGATTAAGATGGGCGATCATGCTCTGAGTCAGAGTCCTCTTCTAAAAATGCGAAGCATGAATTCTATTTGTTCCTTTTAATAGTTAGATCTATTTAACCTCCAAGATCTAATATCTCAAAGTAATGGCTTTTATTTCATTGAAAAAGTAATATTAGAAAGTATATTTAGTGATTAACCAATATAGTAGATATTCCAAATCTTGTAAATGTCGATCTTCCTTCTTCTTTCTGGCATGTTAGATCTGAATCTGTCAAGAGTAATGGCATTGTTTCATTTTGATATGTAGATGTTTCGCCTTTACTTGCCGATCTTGTTGAAGTGTATGATTATTATTAATTAATCTAATCAAAATGCAAGTAAGTTACTGAAGCATTGAACTGTTTGTTTGAATCACCATTCAATGAAGGTTTGTTAACGCGTATCCTTCGTTTTTTTCTTATTATTCACCATACATTATAATTAACGTAATTAATATAATAAGCTATTTCTTACACATTAGTTTTGTAGTCTTTTCTATTAATAACAACTAATAATGGAAATTTCCTAATATCGATTATCATCATTACTTTTCTAAAACAAGAGTTTAGTTTGTTCTTGATCAATTATCTATGTACCTATGTTTTGACCATTCCAGGATACTATCCATTTACTGGTACTGTGAATTCGCATAATTGACTATTTTTGTCTATTCTATTATGAACGTGACACTGGGTTGCAATATATTAAAATAGGATTGTGTAGTTGTGCTAGCATCAACATTGTTCAAATCATTGCAGTCTACAAATGTAATCTGTATGAATACATATTCATATCTTTCTACCAAAATCTTATGTCATTCTATTATGATCGAATAGAACAAATACGAGATATATTCATTTCAAAGTATTCACGTTTTGCAATCTTCATCAGTTTAAAATCCAAATTGTCATGAGAATAATTACCTATCCTTTGTTTTTATTTTTGTCAAAGTTGAAAACCATTGATGGTGAATAGGATCGATCATCTTTCTATAATGTATTAAACCTAAAAATCGATGCATGTTAGTGTATTTTGTCTGGAATCTTTCTTTGCTTCACTAATAGATCCCAAACATTATCATTATCCCAGTAAGTATGTATATAAGTTTTACTGAAAATCACTCTATCATGTGAATTCAAAACTGATTTCTTATTTTCCAATGGTTTTGAATACTTTTGATTTTCATTTCAGTAATCACACTCTCATTCATTCTAATACCAGCATAATCGATGACATTATAATTATTTTGGTATTTTTGGTATTCGATACTTCAAATTATGTCTTCTTCGCTTTAATAGTTTTAATAATACTCGGATCGTTTTATATGGGTCCATGAGTATTCTCTTTTGTTTATTCTCAAAGGTTATTCTTTCTTTCTATCAAAACTGCACGTGATCATAACTTATTTCTTAAACAGCTTCAGCAATAACTAGTTGCCATCAATTGAGTGTCCACATTATTATTATGTAATAGTCACATATTTTGTAATGACAGTTATCCTGAAAGCTCATTTTGCCAGTACATTCGTACACCTCGAAAAGCGTTATATCAATTTTGATATGAATACAATATTTTACATAATCATCATTTGCTAATTAACAAATAAGTATCAATTATTCGTTGAATGCAAATCTCATAAGACTCGATATATAACCAGTGAATGATTGTATAAACACGATCAATATGTGCGTATTCGGAACTAGCTCATCTTTTTAAAATCCCTTTTTACATCAAAACTCCGTATTTCATTCCCACCCTTTATTTTCCTTCTTTGGTTTGAATACTATATTCCATTATTTTTCTTACCATTACAATTCTTGAAATAAGGAAATCTCAACAGAAAACATGGTTCTTGTTATTACGTAATACTCCACTGTTTTCTAGAATGCATCTATATTATATATCAATATTGATTTAGAGCACTATACTACAATTCTAGTAAATCGTTTGTAGGCATTTTGATCTGAAATGATTGCTATTGTAAGTTTATTAACGCATATTTACTATTTTCAAATACCATTAGTAACACCATTTATATGTATATTCCGTGATGTGGACATCACCGATCAGTCCATGACTTAATACACCGATCTCACCAACACCTTCAATCCCCATAATTATTTTCACACTCTCGGCTTGTCTACAAAAGAAAACATGCAACTTGGTTTGGAAAAACAAAATGATACTATCCCAATCTAGTCTACCTTTATATGTAACAAAATAACGATCTATTTTCACCCATACAATCACTCTAAGCAATTCATCACTTTTTGCTGCCTACTACCCCATTCTTGTTCTTCTATATTCTAATGATATCCCACTTTTCTCATCATTCACAGAATCCCACACTTCCTACCTATTTTCTTAATTATTCCAAAATCCCCTCGATTTTTGCCAAGAAACGCCTCTCTCCAAACAATTCTTATCACCACCAAATGGAAGAGAATTCACCTGAAGATAACAAGACGTTCAGTGACTATGGAGTGTGTGATACGCTTTGTCAGGCAATCGACAACTTGGGTTGGAAGCATCCTTCCTCTATTCAGAGAGATGTATTGAAGATTGCTCTACAAGAGGATCAAAATAAGGATATTATCGCTATTGCAGAAACGGGTTCTGGTAAAACGGGAGCGTTTGCCATACCTATTATCCAGCGATTGATTGACAACCCTCAGCGAATGTATGCGCTGATTGTGACCCCTACCCGAGAGCTTGCTTTCCAAATTTCGGAGCAGTTTGAGGCTCTAGGCTCATCGGTAGGTCTGAAGACTGCGGTAATCGTAGGAGGAATTGATATGGTTCAGCAAGCCTTGGCATTAGCCCGTAAGCCACATGTCGTGGTAGGAACTCCAGGACGTTTGGTCGACCACCTGGAGAACACAAAGGGCTTTTCTCTGAACACCATGAAGTACTTAGTTTTGGATGAAGCCGATCGTTGTCTGTCCATGGACTTTGAGGAGGCGATTGACAAAATTCTGAGCTGCTTCCCGAAGGAGCGAGTGACCTATCTTTTCTCGGCTACCATGACGCAGAAGGTGGTGAAATTGCAGCGAGCCTCTCTGCAAGACCCTGTGAAAATCCAGGTGTCTTCCAAGTATCAGACGGTGAGCACGCTCATCCAGCAGTATTTGTTCATCCCTGCAAAGTACAAGGAATGCTACCTCGCCTTCATCATGAACGAATTCCGCGGGAAAAGCACGATTCTGTTCGTGTCGACCTGCAGCAGCTCGCAGCTTTTAACGCTGTTTTTACGCAATCTTGGGTTCAAAGCGGTGTGCATCAACGGAAATCTCTCGCAAGTGAAACGCCTCGGCGCATTGAACAAATTCAAAGAAGGCGCGCGGAACATTCTGATCGCCACGGACGTGGCTTCCCGCGGTTTAGATATTCCGGAAGTGGATTTAGTGGTGAATTACGACATTCCGGGGAATGGAAAAGATTACGTGCATCGTGTGGGGCGAACGGCGCGAGCGGGCAAATCGGGCCGAGCCATCACGTTTGTGACGCAGTACGATGTAGAAAGCTATCAGAGGATCGAGAAATTGATCGAGAAGAGATTAGATGCGTACCCGTGCAGCGAGAATGAGGCTTTGACGTATCTGCAGACGACGACGGAAGCGTTGCAGATCGCGCAGAGGGAGATGAAGGAGGAAGAGAAGAAGGGGAAGAAGGGGAAGAATCGGGATGGAGGAGATGCGGATGATTATGTGATGGACACGTTCAGAGGGAAGACGCATGGAAAGAAGGCGAAGAAGAATCGAAAATAGTCATTTTGGTTTGTTTGATGGATTAACCGCGATTGTGAATTATTCAATCATTCTTATTTTATTAGCATGGAAGGAACAGAACAGAAACAGAACGAAGCTCCTGTTGTGATTGATGCTGCTTTGTTTGATTTGTCGTCGAGTAGAATTCAAATGGGTGGTTGATGGGTAGTTACTGGAACCGTCTTTCAAAACGCCATTTTTGATGAGTTCACGGAAGGAGAATACGACGTGCCGATGGAGAACGGCCTTCGCAATGGAAAAGGCACACAGAAGTTTATGAAGGACAATGAAGATTATACGTTGGAGTGCACTTGGGAGAACAACAAAAGGAATGGAGAGGGAGTGTTGCTGGACCCGAACGGCGTTATGGCTATGAAACTCTTCTTTAAGGACGATGTTGTCAATGGCGAGGGAACTCTCTTCTCGAACGGTCAGGCCACCTTCAAGGGAACCTGGAAGGATGGCAAACGCACGGGTCATGGTGTTGAGTTTGTGAATGGCCACGTGGTGTACGATGGCAACTACGAAAACGACCAGCGCAACGGCTACGGAATCGAATACGACGATGAGAACCAAATCGCTTTTGAAGGCGAATGGGTGAACAACAACCGCGGTTTAAAGTCAGTAATCCGCACGAAGAAGGGCGAGCGCCGCCTAATCGAGAAAGACGAGGCTGGAAACGACCGCTTCATTGGAGGTTGCAAAGAGAATTCGTTGGAACGCGACGGTTTTGGTACGGAATTCGACGCGGAAGGGAACCCGATTTTCGAGGGAATCTACAAAGACAACGCGCTGGAGCGGAAAGTGAAGGAGTTCAAAGGGAAGGAGATCGTGCTGTACGACGAAGAGGGCAAAAAAGTGTATGAAGGAGAGTATCTGAATAAAAAAGAGCGACACTACCCTGCGAATGGGCAAGGAAAGGAGTTTAAGAACGGAGTGATGGTGTATAAGGGTCAGTTTAAGAATGGAGTGAGGGAAGGAAAGGGCTGCAGCTACTATGCGAATCATTGCTTGATGTACGATGGGTATTGGCAGAATAATATGGCGAATGGGCATGGGAAGTTCCATAATGATGAAGGAATGGTGGTGGTGGAGGGCGATTTCGAGAATAATATGTACCAGGATGATACGATCTGCGTGCATGTGGATTCGGGAAAGATTGATCAGATTAAGAAGATGAAGGGATGCTTCTGCTAAGCTATATGTTTTTATGTCTCATATAGTGTTTGGACGTGTTTGTTGGAAAAGATGGGAAGTGGACAGGAGTAGCACTTATTCTATTTGAGTAAATCACGCATGACAAACAATAGAACGCATTGAAGTTATTTATTATTATTTACAGCAGTTTCGAGACTCATAATTTCTGGGGGATGAGTGAGGATCGGATCTCTATCGCACAGATCCGTCGCTACGAGGATATCATAGAGAATAAAATAAAAGTGGGATGAGAGGAAGAGTGTTGAGCGATGTAGCCCAGTCTTGAGCGTTCTATGGAGAAATTAAGGGAAACGTCCTCTCTTGTAGAACAATATGAAGTGCTCCGCGCAAATATAGAATTAATGAAGAAGGAAACAAAATCGACGATGCGCTCGTTGGTGAACATCGGCTCCGAAGTTTATGTCCAAGCGAAAGCGGAAGACCGCAGTCATATATTCGTGAATATTGGAATGGGCTTCCATGTCGAGTTCACGCTCGATGAGGCATTGGACTTTATCGATAAGAAATTAGCCAAATTAAAGACGTAGGATTCTATTCTCAAAATGTTATTCTAGAGATGTGGTTCTCAAAAACGCAGATGTGGAACGCGAAAAGCAGAACTATTACAGTGTTGGTCTTGCGTGCAGATCGGTTCATTCGTAGGCTCTCCACTCCCTCGAGCAGTTACGCCAGTTTATGTAATCCGTTTTTGTTGGAAACAAACACTGCAGTATAATGTATATAAAGTCGGTTCGTCCGGCTCTGTCTTTTCCATTAATCTCCCATTGGTTCCGAAATCGATCATATACACTCGCTCTCTCGTATCCTTCCAATAGAAAAGAACCGAGAATTCATCGCGTTCGTTGAGCTTACACTCCATCAACACCACATTCGACAACTCCGACCCCGCTTCGTGCTGCCTGTCCTGCACGAGCATATACTTCGCCAGAGGCGTGTGCTGCCTTCCTTTAAAGAAATACACACTCTTCGACCGCTCCGTGAAGCTCACTTGCAGCACTTTCCGCGCCGGGAGCTTGCGAATCGAGGGGAACACGCAGTGCAGACCGGTCTTGAAGAGCACCCAGATCTCCTCGGAGAGCGGCGTGGAGCGCAAGGGCGCGATGGTTTTGATGAGCAGGCCTTCGAGAGTGGTGCAGTAGCGAACGCTCCCGCGCACGATCTGCTGCTGGTCGCAGAGAAACTCGAGATGGTCGCAAGGAAGCTGCTTTTTGCAGTAGTCTTGAATGATGGGAAGGAGGAGCGGCGCGTATTCGCCGCAGATGCAGACGCGTTGAACGCCGGAGAGATCGCGACGCGCGATGTTCAGCTTGAGAGCGTCGATAAATTGCTGTTTCTTGGAGGTGGCGAGCTGCTGGATGGTGCCGTAGAGCGAGTCTAGGCGTGAGTGCAATGAGGGAAACAGGGAACCATCCTGCACCTTGAACGGCTGGTTGGTCATCACTTTCAGCGCGAGAGCGCGCGCCTCGCAGTAGAGAGACGCGCGGTTGTCCTGCGTAGAGCTGTCGGTGTCTGCAGAGGGCGAATAGGAGGGATTTAACTGGAGAATGAGGTAGAGCTCGTGAGGAAGATCCAAATCGGAGAAACTAAGCGACCAAACCAGATTCGAACCCGAATAGAGAGAAACCGTCGATAGGTATTCGCCGCAGCAAATAACGAGAGAATCGACAAATGAAATGGTGTGGCTGTAGATGGCAGCGAGGTCATGTGTGATTACTGTGCATGCCCCGAAAACTTTACCAGCATCTTCCACAATATGAAATGCATTTTCACCGAACGTAGCAGGAACACTAATTACTGCCTTGTTTTGGCTGTTTGTGATATGATCAAAACGACTTTGGATAATACTGAATATACTCTGGAGAACATCGACCACATTCACTTTTTGGCGCTTTATTTTCATGTTATAATAAAAAGATCCGTTTTCATATTCGATGGGACTTCCCCATTCTAACTGTTGATTCCGTACTTCTCTGTCTCTGTTATCCATAATTTCCATGGCATGAACAATATTGGTTATTACATCATTAGGTTGTTGAGCTAGACGTTCGATTGCCTCTGAATCAATCTCAGCTTTCTCTCCAAAATAAACGATTGGCCAGATTCCAACATCCTGACTTTGAGCCACTTCTTTTAATGGAAGAGCAATAATCTCATTATCTAAATTATAGGATGCTCTGATTGTAGTAGAGCTTAAGTCAATACCGATACCGCTCATGATATATATAACAAAATGATTTATACTGATTTTGTTAAACTTGCTCGCTCCTCAGCTTATCGAATATACAGTTTGTGGGTGTTCGTATGCATGAATAGTTGTTCGTTGTTGTCAAACGAGACGAAATAGTAATATTTGGCCATTTTTCGGCTTTTTTTTCAAAAATAGAAAACTGGAGCGATGAGTGTTGCACGGGTGTATCGAGATGTGAACGTCATTCGACCAGTTTCGTACTGGGATTACTCGTCGCTCGTCATTGCCTGGGGGTGTCATTCTAATTGAAAATTGAGTTTTAGGAAGTCGAGCAATTATTCCGTGATTGAGAAAGTGGGGAGAGGCAAGTATAGCGATTGCTATCGTGGAATGTGTCTCACAAACGGGAGAGAATGCTGCGTTAAAGTAATAAAGCCCATACGGATGAAGAAAATCCAACGGTAATTGAGAGTGAGAGAATTAACGTTCAGAGAGGTGAAGATTCTCCAAAATTTGTATGGTGGTCCGCACATAATTCCGGTATGATTAGCTCCACTCTTATGAGCAAGCTGTACGATGTGGTTCGAAATGAAAAAACTCAGATTCCAGCGTACATTTTTCCTTATGTCCATGGCGTTGATTATCGAGTACGCGCCCTTCTTGGTGATCCACACTAGACTCACTTTACCAAGTTCTCTCTCTTTGAGATCAAATGCATTCTTTTCCAGCTTTTCGAAGTACGCAAATCGAATCCATTCCCATCCAGGCGCTCGATTACGCGCACATGAACGGGATTTTCCACCGCGACGTGAAGCCTCAGAACATCGTCTTTCAGTACGCGTCTTCTCCCGCAGCGAACGGAGATGATGGCTCCATCGTCGACGACAAGGCTCCGCACGAGCAGCCGCGCAACTACCCGGAGATCTGGCTGCTGGACTGGGGTTTGGCGGAGTTCTACTACCCTGGGAAGGAGTTCAACGTGCATGTCGCGTCTCGCTACTACAAGCCTCCAGAACTGCTTATCAACATGCAAGACTACGATTACTCGCTGGATATGTTCTCGGCAGGGTGTCTCCTGGGCGCATTGGTATGCATGGCGTAATGGCCTCGATGGCAGCTGTTCGGTCGCGAACCTCTCTTCAAAGGCGCAGACGACAAAGATCAGCTGCTCAAAATCTGCAAAGTGCTGGGCACGGAAGATCTGCGGCAGTACTGCGACCGCTACGGTCTGGACATGCCGGTGATGTACAACGGTCCGATTCCGGATTATCCGCGGCAACCGTGGTCCGTTTTCTTCACCGCGGAGAATCGGGAGAAATGCACGGCCGATGCGCTGGACTTGCTGACGAGCTTGCTGCAGTATGATCATCAGGTAGGAGAATGGAGGCGGAGGCGTAAGGGAAGAAGCGGCCGACAGCGAAGGAGGCGATGGCGCATCCGTTTTTTGATGAGGTTCGGAAATTGGTGAGCAGCAATACGCGGATGAAATTCGGCGATTGGACGAAGGTGTGATGTGGCGGGTGTTTTGCGTTTGTTTGTTTGACAAAGAAAATGGATTTCATTCCTGGAAATGATGTTTCCGAGTGGCAGATCCTGGGAGACGAGGATCGCTACGTGCTCTATCAGCAAGTGACTGTCCAGGAGCCGATGGGCTGGTCTGGACTTTCTTTGGATTGTTATCGTACTGCCTGTGGAAAGTACAGTGGTAGGAGCGTTGCGGAAGAGCGAGATCTTATATTTGTAGGGTATATTGCGCTTAAGTGGAATACGGAGGAAACACTGCCCATGAACTGTGATATTAGCTTAACAACAGATATCTTAATTTATGACTCATGCGGAAAGCGAGTTCTGCACACTCGTTGTGTTTTTTGTGTAGGTAGCTCAGATTCCGGGGAAGGATTGGCAATACACGCGTGTCGCAGCGATGGGATGGACCACAAACCAGAAGTTGTTTATTTTGTTCGAAGACGGACAGTACATCATCTTCTCTGCTTCGGGCGAGCTGCTGTCGAATAACAAGTTGTTCGAAGTCTCGCTCACCGACATGGTCCTCCACGGCTGTCCCTGCGATGATGGTTTCCTCGCTTATACAAAGAACAACCACGTGTAGGCGCTTCTCTTCGCTCGCTTTCCCTCTAATCCGCAGGCTTTACGTCGATTGCAGCCCCGACCACCCGATCAAGACATCGTACCCCGATCTCCCTTTAGTCGCGGGGAACCGCGTGGAATGTTCCTGCGTGTTCGATTCGCACTGCAACGAATCCAACGCCGTCGAGGCGCTCGTGTCCTGCATGGACCAATCGCTCTACTACATCACCTGCGACTCTGTTAACGAGATTAACATTGCCGTACATCCCCGCGGGAATTTTCATCTAGGGCCGCGTGCAGGGCCAGATAACCGCGTTTGCGGCGTCGCCGAGCGGCGATTTTGTCGCGGTTTTTTCGGACCAGGGATGGCTGGACGTGTTCGATCGAAACTTCGAAGACCACGTCGGAATCTGCGGGTGTTTCGATGTAGATCATGGGGAAGAACACGGACTGCCGCGTTCCCCCGCGGGGCTTCGCGTGGTGCGGGGACGACAGCGTGGTGCTGTACTGGAGAACGGTGGGATTGCTGCTGATCGACCCGTTCGCGGACTGGCTGAAATACACGTACGACAAGGAGGACACGCTGCTGCTGGTGCCCGAAGTGGATTGCTTGAGGGTGTACTCGTCGCTGAAACACGAGATTATTAGGAGGGTAGGAGAGAGAGGAAGAGAGGGATCGGGTTTTGATGGAAGGAAATGAATGGGTGAATGAATGAATTGAATGAATTGAATGAATTGAATGAATTGAATGAATTGAATGAATTGAATGAATTGAATGAATTGAATGAATGAATGAGTTGGTATTAATGGTGAATGAATCAACTCAATCAGTCATTTTGTCAATCACTCAACTGAATGAATTGAATGATTCACCCATTGAATGATCGGGTTTTGAATCATTCCACTCACTCCTTCTTGTTCGAATCACCGATTGAATTGAATGAATTGAATTGATTGAATCCATTGAATCCACTGAATCCATTGAATTGAATCCATTGCACCGTGCTCTAGTTTCCACGTTTCCCCTTTTCTAACGCTTCCTAGGTCCCCGAGGCCATCTGCAGCGTCTACACGGCCGAATCCGAGTCCCCCGGATCGTGGCTGCGTCGTGCGCACGAGCAATTCATCCGGCACGAAGGAGCGGCGACTCCGCTGCGCGGGGATACCGCGGGGGAGCGCGGATTGCTGGGTTTGGGGGTGCGGGAATGTCTGGAAGCGGCGAGGGAGGAGCTCTCCACCATCCAGCAGGAAGAACTGCTCAGCGCCGCGCGCTTCGGCAAATGCTTCCTCGACGGCGGCATTGCCCACCACCAAAACGGGGAAACCGGGGAAACCAATTGGGGAAATGATGCCGCGATGAGCGAGCCGGCCGCCGAAACGACCGCTGAACCGACTGGAGAAACTGGAGAAACTGGAGAAACGGAGGAAACGGGGAAGGGAATCGTGGAACAGTTCCAGGAAGCGTCGCGATTTTTGCGCGTGCTGAACACGATGCGCGACCCGAAGGTGATTTTCGGCGATAACCGCGGTTATCGGTAGATCGCGATTTTCCTAACATGGCGCGAGTTTCATTTCCTGGGCGTGGAGAAAGTGCTGCGACTGCTGCTGTACCGACAGCTGTATTACTTGGCGCTGAAAATCTGCGCGTATTTGGGAATTCCGAACGATTTCGTGCTCGTCGATTGGGCCTCCCAGAAGATCAAAAAAGCCGCGGGAGTGTCCGATGAAACGCTCCGCGACCAGATCCGCGAGAATTTGAAGAGTTACCCCGCGATTTCGTACAAGGAGATCGCGAACGTGGCGTTTTCCCGCGGGAATAAGCGTCTGGCGACGATGCTGCTGGAGTTCGAGCCGAATCCCGCGGAACGCGTAGCGAATTCGATGGAATGCGAGGTAGATTCCGCTGCTGCTGGCGATGGGGGAGTTACAATTGGCGTTACGGACGGCGAGCAGTAGTAACGACAGCGACTTGATGATGATGGTGGCGTTATCACTGTACGACAAGTCCTTGATTATCAAGGAATTCACGGGTAGAAACGAGGAGGGCGTTCCGGAGCAGTTGCTGGGGCTTTTGCGGCATTTCCCGCGGGTATTTGAGTCGTGGTTGCTGTACGTTTCGGAGCTGGACGCGAATCGCGTGCTGCAGATTCGGAATTTCCTGGGGGAAATCGGGGAAGTGGCGGCGCTGCTGATCGAAGACGCGCTGAAAGAAGTCGATGTGACCAAGCGGAGAGACGCGCTCAAGAAAACGCTGGGCGTGGTGGGCAATGCCGTGTCCGCGGGACGGAAGGAGATGGTCTTCACGCAGACGGTGGAAACGTGGAAACGGAGTGAGGAGTAGGCGATCCAGGAGGAGCTGAAGCTGTTCGAGTTCAAGCTGAAATTGGTGGCGCAGACGAAGTCGGAGGAGTGTTTGAACCTGCCGCTGCTGGAGACCATGCGCTTCGCCGTGCTGCACAGCCGCGTGGAGGTGGCGGACGCGATGGCGAGCGCGTTCAAGGTCCCTGCGAAGCGGTACTGGCGGATGAAGGTGAGAGCGCTGGCGGATTCGGAGAACTGGGACTTGCTGACCGTGCTGGGAGAGAAGAAAAGCCCGATCGGGTACGCGCCGTTCGTGGAGGCGTGCATGGTGAACCACAACGCGAGAGAGGCAGCGGCGTTCCTGGAGAAGATGAGCGATGCCAGGGAACGGCTGGAGTGCGCGATGAAGTGGAGGCTGTTCGAGGGAGCCATCCAGGCGGCCACCAAGCTAAGAGATGTGGGAGCACTCATGAAGGTGATTGATGACTCGGCGAATGAGAGTATTAAGTCGCAGGCCAAGCAGGCCATTGCGTTGATTGAGGGACGATAACGAAGAAGAAGAAGAAGAAGAAGAAGAGAGAGATTCTGTAGTGGTGTGTTTGTTTGAAATCCATTTGCTGGTATTTATATAGGATGAGGTGAGAAGAGGTAAGATTAAATAAATATTAGATTGATTGGAAAAAGAAAAAAAAAATGGAGGAGAAGGGCATCGATCCCCTTACCTCTCGCATGCTAAGCGAGCGCTCTACCATCTGAGCTACACCCCCTACATTTCCATTCCCAAAAGAACCTACTTGAAAACTTGCTATTCCTCCACAGTTACAATCAACAGGATTTCGAAAATGACAGGACTACGAATTGCTTTTCTCCACCCCGACCTGGGTATTGGAGGTGCCGAAAGACTAGTGGTGGACGCCGCGGTTGCTTTAAAACAAAAGGGGCATGATATTACCATGTATCAATTCATATCCTCATTGACTCAAGGTTTACTTCGCATCACGGAGTGAAAGCATTTGATGAAACAAAGGACGGTCGTGTGTTTTTCACGTTGTTTATTTCTAGGCACGCTAAATGTGATTGTACATGGTGATTTTTTGCCAAGAACATTCTTCAACAAGTTCTACATATTGTTTGCCATTATTCGGGCTCTCTATCTCGCATTTGTCGTCTCCGTATTCTACGGACCCTACGATGTGATTTTCTGTGACCAAAACGCGGCTTATATCCCAGTCCTTCGTTTATTCTGCCGCTCTAAAGTTCTCTTCTACTGCCATCACCCCGATTTCGTCCAAACTCCCCACAATTCCCTTCTAAAGAAAATGTAAATTTTGTATTCTATATGTCCACTTGCAGATACCGCCTTCCATTCGACCTCTTCGAAGAGTATTGCATTTCGATGGCGGACAAAGTGCTTGTAAACAGTCTGTACACGCAGTCCGTCTACAAGGAGTCCTACACAATCATCAGCTATCTCAGCAACACGCTGCCCAACGTTCTCTACCCCTGCGTGGACCTCGCCGGCATCCAATCTCTCGCCCAGTTTTTTGTTTGATTCCCGCGATTACTCCCAGAAAATGCGCGTCGCTCCCCCGCGAACTAGCGGGCTGCTCGTACTTCTTGTCGGTGAATCGCTACGAGCGCAAGAAAAGCGTGGAAACCGCGATTCTTGGCTTCTCGAAGCTCCGCAATCGCTTCGGTCCGCATGTTTTTGAAAAACACAATTTGCGTCTTGTCATCTGCGGAGGCTACGATCCGCGTCTGCCTGAAAACGTCGAGTACTACGAGGAGCTCACGTATCTCGCGTTTGTAGGGATTCCCGCGGGGATTGAGGGTAGAACGAGGGCGTTTCGGAGTTCGTCGTGTTCCTGCGGAACTGCGGACAGGATGTGAAGGCGGCGCTGATTCAAAACGCGCTGGCGCTGATTTATACGCCCTGCAACGAGCATTTCGGGATCGTGCCCATCGAGGCCATGGCGCTGAGTCGCGCGGTGATCGCTCATGATAGCGGGGGCCCGCGGGAATCGGTGGTTTCTGGGGAGACGGGTTTTTTGTGCGCGAATTGGGAGGAATTCGGGAATGCGATGGGAAAACTGGCGGAGGATCGGAAATTGGGGGAGAAGATGGGAGAGAAGGGGAGAAAGAGGGCGGAGAAGCGGTTTTCGTTCGAGGCGTTCAGCGAGCAGCTGGATCGGGAGGTGAAGGAGATGGAGAAGAAGAGCTGCGCGCATTTGTATTTGCCGTTTGTGATTTTTGCCTTGTTTTTGGCGATGATTCGTTGGAGTGTTTGTTGGAAGAAAGAAAGAAGGAAAGAAAAGGGGAGCGGAGAAGGGTGTTTTGAGATAAGAATGGGGAGATGGGAGGGTTTATTATAGTAATGGGATTGATAGGATGAATAGTATAATATAGGGGGCATTCATTCATTCATTCATTCATTCATTCATTCATTCAATTCATTCATTGATCCACTCATTCATTGATTCACTCACCCCTAATTCCAACTCACTCATTCACTCAACCTCTTAACATTGATGTTTCTCTCAAACAACTCCCCATAAAGCAAAACTATTCTTTTCTCACCCTCTTCTCCACATCGATCGCTTCCTCCATCATCTTCTTCATCGCCGCCTCCGCCTTCTTCTTCGCCTCCGCGTCCTTTTCGATCAATTTCGTCGTTTCCTCCTTCAGTTTCTCCAAATCCGCGAACTGCGCCGTCTCCTTCTTCATTTCCTCAGGATGAGCGCGCAGATACAGATCATGCAGACGGTTGAAATCGATGTCGTACGGGTCTTTGTAGTCCTTTTCGTAGTTGTTCCAATCCAGAAGCACGCGACCCCAGTCTTCAGGGATCTCACGAACGGGCGAGGATAGAATCGCATCGTCGCAGCGAGGCTCCTTGGGAGCACGCAGATGCCAAATCGGCCAGTCCGTCTCACGGACTTGAGGAGCATGCGGATGGTTCTCCTCCATGTAAATTCGGAGTCTCTGAATGCGCTCCTTTCGCAACTACATAGTTAGAGCCTGCAACACAACCTTTTACGTGGTTCTTGGGCAACATTCCATAAACCGCTTGCCACAATATCTTTTCAGGGTTCTTTTCTTCCATCTCCTACAATAATCAGTACACTCCAAGCAAAACCCACTTTTAATGTACGTGATTTCAAACCACCAGGCCAACCAGTATACCAACGGTATACTTTCTTTTCGTAAGTCTTCTTTGAGTACACCATATCACCCGCATTCACAACAACTACGTAGTCACCGCATTCCGGGTCGCTTGGGTTGTAAGTCGGTTTGTGTTTACCCATAAGCACAGCTGAGATTTGTGTGGCCAAACGACCAAGAACCTAGAGTAAAGAAGCACCTTCGAGTCCAACCTGTCCTTTTGCGTCCACTACGTGCCAAATTCGCTGGCCGCCTCTTTCGAGCAATCTACCCGCTCCAGACATCCCAATAGTAAGAGAGCAGTTTTCGACTATTTTTCTGTCCTCTCCCAGGGATTGAAGGATGTGGGATCCCATCTTTTGGATTCAATGAGAGAGTGAGAAATAGGTTCCTTTTACCTATACGAGAGTTGTAGCACACAATCATTTTTAAGTGGAAAATGATTCGTCTTTCTCCATTGTCCGAAAGTGGCCTTCGATTATGTTTGAAAAGATTTGTGTCATTTGGGGACTTGGGAGTCGATTCGAAGATTGTGAAAGGATTGAGAAAACTAAACATATTAAATGCTACAGATATTCAAGTGAAAGTAAGTGGTACTGTTTCTATCTAATTCTGATAGAGCATTCCACTAGGTCTACGAAACTGTTCACCTATAGCGATTTCCTCTGAGACTGGTAGTGGTAAAACACTTGCCTATCTCGTTCCATTTCTTAACCACCTAATTACCGATCCCCATCTTCGGATGCTTGTTTTGCTCCCTCGGAAGGAGCTTGCATTCCAAGTTGAACAAGTCGTTCACCAACTCGCTCCCAATGCAGCAACAGCTGTGGCAGTTGGAAAATGGAAGGGAATGGAGGAAGGTGTGTTTCCTTCGATTGTTCTTGGAACACCGAAGCCAGTGTACGAAGTAAGAGGCGTGAGTTCAGTTCTGAGCATAGTACCTACGCCGCGCGTTTGGGAAGAAGAGCTTGGAGATGTTACAGCAATATCGTCGCACTTTCTCCACCTTGGTGCTCGATGAAGCTGATGTCGTTCTGAACGACCCTTTTTATCGCTACACGTTGGATAGTCTGCATCTCCTGGAGCGAGCCAACGCAGATTTGCAGGTCGTTGCTGCTGGAGCAACATTGCCTCGTAATGGGAAAATGACGGCGGGAGGCATTCTGTCTCACGAATTTCCTCAAATCTACTGGTGTGAAACATCGGGGCGCAGCTCTGTTCCGGAAAATATCCGCGTGAGGTTCATCGAACAAGTGGAAGAAGAACAAAAAATGAATGAATTGAAAAAGTTGGCGGGAAAGTTGAGAGGTGGAAACTCGATTTTATTTGTTCGAAATGCTTCGCGTGCTGAACAAGTCGCGGAGAGTTTGGCGGGGATGAATATAAAGGTCCAAGTGCTCTCTCAAGATTTGGATGATGTGCAACGAGACCAGGCGGTTCGAAGGGTATTGGAAGGTTCAGCGATGTGCACTGTTTGTACAGATCTGGTTAGCCGAGGCCTCGACACTCGCAATGTCAATTTAGTTGTTCAGTATGATTTTGCAACCGACGTTTCCGCGTTTCTTCACCGCTGCGGCCGAACAGGAAGAAACGGAGCGCAGGGCGAAGTGATCTGCTTTGTGTCCCCCGAGAATGAGCTGCTTGCGTCCAGGATTCAAGTTTTTTCTATAGTTTTTTGTGTTGAAAGCGTAGAAATGCGGCGTGCACAACGATCTCAGTTCGCTGTTTTCCAGGAAGCGTCTGCTGCGAAAGAAGGCAAAGAAAGAGGGGTGTTGTGTTTGATGCAAACAGATGATGTCCAAAGCTTCGAGCTAGTTTATTCTTCAGGCACTTCAATCTCACCGTTATCGATAGCAGCAATGATATCCGAAGGATGCTGACCGTTCACAGTGCAGCCCACAGAACTAGACGTCAAGCACACCACGAAGGGCTTACTAGCAAGTTCCAAGGACTTCCTTCACCGTTCCAGCCAACTTGTTAGCGTAGGAACGCTCACGAAGGACCTTCGCCACCTTGATCACCTGATCAAGAGTGATGTTTCCGTTGTGCTTCACTAGAAATGAGACAAAGCAGCTACTCTCACCGTTCTTCTCCTTCTTTCTATCTCTTGGAGGCTCATTGAGCTCGCGGATGATCAAAGAAGAAGCGCTGGGAACAACTTCCACCTAGATATAACCGCCATCGCAAGATCCGCACAGTAGCCTGACGGTTGACCACAGTCAGCTTCACAGTGATCTTCAGACCTTTCCAGTCCATGGTGGCCTTCTGAATATCGTCACCGACTTTCTTAGGGGCCTATGAATTCAGCAAGATTCAAAAGAGCTCATACCATACCAAGAGGACCGACCTTGGGAGCTAAAGCAGCAGGAGAAGCGCTTTCTCCACCAACAGCACGAAGATAAACTATACTATGTTAATATCGAACGAGATAGAAAAATGGCATAATCAACAAGAGATTAGTCATTTGCAGGCAAACTTACTGATAGTAGCAGCACCAGCAGGAGCAGGAGGAGCCATGATATTTAATGTATTGCCTTGGACAATATGTGATAACTACCTTCATTATTTTCGACTCTAATAGGGCTCATTTAGTTGGAAATGTCCTATTTCAGAATGGAGTGAATAGAGAGAGAGAATGGGCATTTGAATTCATTCGAGTCGATGTTGAGATGATAGAGAGACGACAGGGATGGAAAAAACGAACGCTGCAATCATTTCTCACCTGGCTAGAATTGAGCGATTGCTGTATCACACATCGTTATTCTGTACACAAATCTATCGTTTTAGTGCTCAATCCATCATTGTTGATCCAATGTGTTCCTTTGACTCCCGTTCTAGTGCTTCCACATTTTCTGCATGCCAATTTTGCAAAATTAAAAATCTGGCGCATCCATCACGGTTATAATCCATTTTTTGGCAGAATCAATTTGGTAGTTTTACACTAAATATCTGAATTAGTACAATCTCCTTTATGGTCGATCAAATTGAAATAGAAAAGTACTGCAATCGATATGAGGAGTTGTACGAATTAGTTCGCTTGATTGAACAACCCTCCGTTTCAGCTGAAGGAATAGAGCGGTTGGAGAAAAAGCTGGACGAAGCTCTAAGCGATATGTCAAAACTCCATGACAATAAGAGTTCATGTACTCCTCTCACGTATCTTCTTTGCTTCTTCGATTAACTAATATATAGAGAATCTGATACAGCTCTATTTGGAATCACACAGGAAGAGATTGTGGCTATTCGGACCCAAGCAGAGAAATTGAAAATCGACACAAACGAAGTTGTTTACTTTTTGGTCTGCGCCAAAATTCCATATTATATTTCTCGAGTCGACAAGTCATTGAAGCGTTCTTTTGTGGAGGCAGCATTGTCCCTTTATTATTCAAATTGGTTTCGTGTATTTTCGAGTATAGAAAAATTAGTCGAGGTGGGCGCTGGTGTGTGGTTTTGATTGTCCAGGTCTATGTTCAGGCGGTGAATGCACAGAGCGATTTGTCATTCTCTCAGAGTTCAATTCTTCGTATCCTTCAAAGCAAACGTCAAGAGTTCCCAAAGAAACTGTTCGATGTATTGTCTGTGAACATCGATCTGATCCCCAAATGCGAGTATCAGTTCACCAACGCCATTCTCGAAGAGTCCATCATGATTCTCCGTTCTCTCTTCTTCCTCTTCTCCTCCTCCCATGTTTTCTTTCCTCCTCCTCGGTCTCATCTGCAGATTCAGCCCGCTGAATTCGACCGTCTTCTCCTCCTCAATCACAGCTGTTCTCGGCATTACAGCCACCTCATCAAGAAATCTAAGGGCGAGCCCACACGCTCCGACTCCATTCTCTACATCGCCGCCATGCTGGACTTCGCGGAGATCGCTTCGATTCTGCAGTGCAGCGCGGGCAGACAGCCGCCGCTCTCCGCCGAGGACTTGCAGCGAATGACGCCGGCGCCGCCGCAGAAGGACAACGATCGGTACAAGGCGGTGGTGCAGCTGGTGATCGGGGTGTATGGACTGCAGCATTGGAGCGAAGAGGCGGAGTGGAGCTCGACGTATCGATCGCTGCTGCGGCAAGTAGGCGAGGGAGGAGCGATGAGAGGCAGGCGTTCCGCTATAAAGGGATTTCGACGCTGTACCAGGACGTGGTGTGCATTCACCAGCACCAAAGCGACGGCGTGTTCTCGACGATCATCACGAACGTGGCGTTCGACTTGGTCTCGCGGTATCTGCTGGTGCAGTCGTCGCAGTGGCACACGATCCACTCGAAGCAGTTCTCGCTGTATGAATCGATGGAGGCGGGCCGGCAGGAGGAAGAAGACGGGCTGGAGACCATCGTTTATTTGCTGGACTATTTGTTCTCGCATCTCCCCGGACTCAGCATCGTGCTCACCGGGAACTCCGTTGAGGAATGCACGCTGCCCTACTTCTGCACCATGCTCAGCGACCGGCTTCGCGCCGAGCCGTATCTCTTGAACAGCTATCTCCGCCTGCTGGCTTCGATGGCGAGCACGAGTCCGTCCAGCGCGGAGGCCGTGTATCAGTTCATCGATACGGCTCCATCGGAGCACGTGAGCTGGTCGATTATGGTCAACGCGCTGAACGAGTGCGAGAAATTGATCGCGACGGACGGAGGGCAGCGAAGCTTGCTGAACACGGATCTGACGGGCTTGGTGGCGATGCTGCGATTGATGATCCAAGTGCTGCGCCACACGAGCAACTGTCCGAATATTCTCGCGTCGCTGCAGGTCAACACGGTCCATTTGTGCATCCGGCTGCTGTACCAGCCGATTCACGTGATGCTGAAGGCGGAGCTGCTCGCCTTTCTGACCTGCATCGCGTCCAACGCGTCGTACGCCCAGCTGATCCTCGAGCAATTGGAGGTCGGGCACATTCTCGATTCGGGGCCCCAGCAAGGACTTCTCTACGAGTTGGAGACCGTTGAGTCGAGCTTCCAGGCCTATCCGTTAACGCTGCATTTCTTGGAGCTCGTCAAGAAGCTGATCGAAGTGCTGGGCGTATCGGCGGTGGTAGCGAGTCCGGTGTTTCCGCACATTTGTTCGTTCGCGCTGCACCACGTGTTCGCGAAGTACGATCTTCTCACCTACCTGCCTTCGCGCAGCGGGGAGAAGTGGAAGCTCGCGAGCGAGAGTCTGGCCATTCTCTCGGAGATCGTTTCCTATTTCCCTGCCGTTTGCGGATCGCCGAGTAGCGACGCTTCGGAGCTCGTCAAAACCCGGCTTTGCGACACGGTCGGCGAGCTGCTCTCGGCCGATTTGGCGCTGCAGAAACTGTTTTCGCTTCTGCAGCTCTCGCCCTCGCACTCCCTGCTCGACTACGCGACGTTGCCGAGCGATTGCATCGCGGAGAGCTCGCTCTTCGTGGACTCGCAGCTCTTCGACAGCTACGGCCCGCAGCTCCACTTGCTCATCGTGGTGGTGACGCTGCTGCAGCGACTGCTGGGGGTCTCCACCGAGGCGATTTCGAGGCTCGGGCTGCACTCCTCCACGCATCCCTCGGCGCTGGTGACGTCGCTGGCGTCGCAGCTGCTCACCGACAGCCACTCCGCGCTCTCGCTGTTCCTCTGCGCGACGTCGACGGGGTCTCCGAGCCTGCAGCGTGCGACGTTCGGCGCGCTGCGGCTGTTCTGCGACCAGGTGAACCAGGGAATGCTGATTTCGATTCTGGACAAGTACCCGACGGAGGTCGCTCTCGTCCAAAACGCCCTCATTTCGCTGCTGTTCTCCGTGCTCTTCACGCAAACCCCCGAGGAGGTGGCGAACCAGGCCGTCCACGCGCTGCTCGACTGGCTGCTGGCGCACGCGCGCTCCGCGTTCCCGTCCGTGACGTCGCTCCTCGTCCTCAACCTGCAAAGCCTTTCGGCGGGCAGTCTGAGTCCCAGCGAAAGCGTGCTGGGAACGCTGCTGGCGTTTGTGAACGACCCCGTGCTGGTGGCGTTCCACGTGCAGGCGGCGAGCAAGGTGCTGCGACTGCTGTGGCTGCTGTGCTCGCATCAGGAAGTAGGGTTTAAGGGGAAATTGGAGGGTAGCGATCGATCGTTCCGCGACTCTGCCAAGCGCTGCTCGACGCCCAGGTCGGTTTGAGTCTTCTCTCGGCGCTTCCTTTCCTTATCGAGTTCGCGAACGGCGTTCAGGAGAACGAGCGGAGTGAGGCGAGCCGACGGCCCGTCCTGGCTGAGATCATCGGGATTGGCGAGGTGCAGGAAGGCGAGCATTCGCGAATCGAGAACTTCGTCTCGCTGCACAACGTCGCGGGATACACGCTGAAGCTGCTCTGCGTGCTGCTCTACTTCCAGAAGCACTGGAATCTCTCGCTGCAGCTGCTGGGAACGCATCTGCGCGCGTGTCTGGAGTACGACGCGTCGGTCTGCGACTCGCTGCGCGTCGATCCGCCGTCGACTTCGCCGCTGCTCGATCTGCTGCAGATCGTGGACCAGTCCTTCGTGGAGCCCTCGCAGATGCCCGCGTATTTGAACGTAGAGGGAAGGCTTTGTGTTTGAGACACAGGACTGCACGGCCAACGCGTGGATCCAGCGCGAATCGGGCGATACGACCTACGTCCAAGTCGATTTGCTGCAGTTGGCGCGGAACATCCGCGACGTGGCGACGCGCAACGGCAGTCCGGCGGATCAGATCCCGTACTTTGTGGACGAAGGCACGCGCTGGACCTACCAGGTACGCGTTTGATTGGAGATCGACCGCAGTGGAATCTGCACATGGCGCTCGAGGCCGCGAAGACGCTGGCCTTCTCGGCGGGCTGCCAGCTGCTCCACTTCGACCTGCTGGAGGCGCGCGAGGTCATTTCGCTGCTCCCCCGCTTCGCCGACGCGCCGTTTTCGCTGCATCTCGCCGTGCTGCAGGCGCTCATCGCGCTGCTGGTCCGCACGGATTCCTACGAGCGACCCTACTTGGCCTCGCTGAGCGCGCTGCTCCTCGATCTGCTCCGCTTCCTGCGCTCTGCGCCGCCCTCCCTGCTGCCGCCCTTCACGCAGCAGACCGTTCTTTCCGGGCTGCTGAAGGCCGTGCTGGCGCCCGCCGTGCAGCAGCGCCAAGACGAGCGAAGCGACGCCGCGCGCGTGCAGCTCTACCTCCCTCTCCTCGCCTTTCTGACGTAGTCCCGCGGGGAGGATGCGATGGTAGGCCGATCCTGGCGGTCGATTCGCTGTCGCTGCTGGAAACGCCGCTGCGCGCCGCGCTGCCCGCTTTGAGCGCGTCGCTGCTACAGGACGTGAATCTGGCGGATCTGCAGGGCCGCATCGCGGTGCTGTCGCTGCTGCGCGTGCTGCTGGAGAGCTGCGTGCGCGCGGAGCTGCTGCGCGTGATTCTGCAGCGCGAAGACGTGCTTCTGGTGATGGCGCGAGGGCGGATTGATGCGTAGTCGCTGCTGCACTTGCTCGATTTCGCGGATACCTCGCTGCTGAACGGCGATTCGCTGCACGTTCTGCAGCGAGAAACGTGGAAACCTCGTGGAGCGGTGACGTGTAGCGTGGTGCGGCTGCTGTCGCTGCTGATCGCGGTGGCGTCGGACATTTCGGGCGCGATTCGCCTGCTCGACCTTTCCGTGTTCTCCGTTCTCTCCGACTGCCCGCTGCTGCTTCTCAACTCGCCTCCAGGCTTCGCCATTCACCCCAACAAGCTCTCTCCCTCCCAGCGCGACGCCTTCCGCCGCGTGCTTCGCCCCATGCTGCAGCTGGTCCTCACGCTCGTCCAGACCGTCCGGTCTTTCCGCGGGACGCGCGACGAAGTGCTCCGCTTCGTGCGAGCCACCGTCAACGCGTCGCTGGTGCTGCTGGAGGACCGCCAGGCCGACGAGACGCTCGCGTTGGAGGTGCTGGCGCTGTACCAGGCCGTGCTGGCGCTGCTGGCGTGCGAGAAGGGAATGCTGGAGGAGGATTTGCGCGGATTCGAACGCGTGGTCGCGGAGAAGATGCGGGAAAATCTGCGGCGATTGGAGGAGGAAAGGGAAGGAGCGCTGGGAAGGAAGAGCAGAGAGGGAGGAGAGGACGAGGACGAGGATCGGAGGGAAGCGAGGGAAGCGAGGGAAGCGAAGGAAGCGAAGGATCCAAGGGAGCTGAAGGAACCGAAAGAACTGAAGGAACCGAAGGAGCCGAAAGAACCAAAAGAACCGAAGGAACCAAAAGAACTGAAGGAGCCGAAGGAACAGAGAGAACAATTGCTGCGACGTGTGGCGGAGAGTAGTGTGGTATTTTTGCATGCCTTTGGGGAAGAGATTCCAGAAAAGGTTGTTAAGATGTTGGAGGAGAGTTAGACGTATTTTTCGTCTGTTTGTTGGAGGAAAACGAGAGTTGGAGTTTTTTATGATAGTTTGTTTGTCAAGAATATGGGGTCATGTGTATCAACACCTGGTAGGTCTCCGAGTGGAAGCGATCATTTTATAGAAGTAGTGAAAGGAGATACCGAACCAATTCCGTTGTACGTTGTTTTGTTGTCTAGTCGATGTTCTTACTCTGTATAGGGAGACAGAAGAAATAGCAAATAGTAATTTACCGGAAACTACTGTGATTTCAAACAGTGGGATTTTTAAAGGCTGTTTACGATAGATCCGGATTCTAAACAAATTAAGAGTGCAAGTATTGAAAATATTGAGACAGGAATCGATACGCCCAGAATAAAAAGCGAGGAGGACCATGAAACAGACTATAACTTGAAGATTTTATCAACTTCGAGAAGTGTGACTTCACTGTGATTGTTATTTAGGTCTGTCCTCGTTGTCTAATCCTCATGAAGACCATCCGTCTCCCTATCAAGAAGAAGTGTTTTCCATCTGTTCTGCAATCAACCAGGGAGCGGAAGAGGAGACGATTTTGAATAATGCTCAAAAGGATTTCGTGACGAAGGTAATTTCGGCTGTGGCTTGCTGAGCAAGATCGTCGAGAGCGACGTCGACAACAACAACGACATCCACGTCGTACTAAGCACGCTAGGCCTCGCCAACCCCGTCTGCGAGCGGCTGGTGAACAAGTACCTGGAGGATGGTAGGGCCGGGTTTCCCCTTTTCCCCAGGCCAATGGAGCTCTCTGCTCACGAACATGTGCTCCCGCTATCTCGAAGCGCGCGCCTCGCTGAGTCCGGAGGAGGCGGAGGCCATTTCCCAGTTCCTTCGGCAGAGCGTTCAGTTCATCGAGCAGTGCATTCGATTTCGAATTCTCGAGGTCACCCCGCGGGAATCGCACTCCTGCACCTCGACGCAGACGCTGCCCGCCTCCCACACGCCCACCGGCGATGGGTCTCTCGACGATCCCCACGACACCGCGAGCCTCTCCGCCAAAACGGACAGTTCCGTGGTCGCGCTGGTAGGTTCCGCGGGGAGAGTCGAGTGCAGACCGATATCAGCTCGGTGTCCTTCCGCTCGCGCGAGTTTCGCGCGATCAAGCTGCTGATTCTGGCGGTGGCGGAGCTGCGAACGCGCTACCCGGACGCGGTTCGGCAGTTTTTGGTGTGTTCGCCGACCGATGCCGCGCTGGGGAAACAGGGAAACACCCCACGAAACGGCGAAGAAAACCGCGGTGAAGGGCAGAAGGAGGTGCAGAAGGAGGTGAATAACGAATTGCAGAACGAATCTCATAACGAACCTCATAACGAAATTCATAACGAATCTCATAACGAACCTCATAACGAAATTCATAACGAATCTCATAACGAACCTCATAACGAAATTCATAACGAATCTCATAACGAAATTCATAACGAATCTCATAACGAACCTCATAACGAATCACAGCTACCCACCCAGAACGAAACATCGGCCTCCTTTTCGGCCTCCTTTTCGGCCTCCGTCTCATCGCAGGTCGAGGCTTCGCAGGGAGGGTCGAGGGAGGAGCCTGGACTGAACGAAGCGGAGGCCAAGCAGGCGCTGCGTCGCTGGCGACAACTGCATTTGGTGGTAGGAGCGAACCGGAGGGTTGAGAGCGAGGGGACGGCGATTAGTCGGCTGACCGGGGAGGAGGACGTGCACGACATCACGGACGTGAACGACATCAAACGCGAGGTGGAGCAGTTCCAGCCCATGGAGGCGAACTTCACGGGGTCGCTGGGAAGTAGGGGCGCGGAGGCGCGATAAGTCTAGTCACGGAGCACGCGCGGCGGAAGCAGGAAGAGGCGAGAATGCAGACGGTGTGGGAAGAGAGCGTGCAGAGCGTGTGGAGGGAGGATTTGTGGTTCAAAGCGGTGAAAAGCGGGACGGAAGAAGACCTGCAAAACATGGAAAAACTGCTCGGAAAGGACCCGAACGCGTTCTATCATGAGTGGGATCCTCGAAAGCTGATCAACTGCGGTAGGCGTGGCGTGGATCCTGAACAGTAGTGGATTCGCAGAACCGAACGGCGCTGTACTTGGCGTGCTACAACTGCAATCTCGCGATGGTGCGGTTCCTTGTGGCTCGGAACGCGGACCCGCGCATCGCTCGCGTCCTGGACGAGAAAACGGAGGAAACGCCGCTGGGGTGCGCGGTGCGATGGGGCTACGTGGAAGTGGTGAGTAGGGACGACGGGGAAATGCGAGATAGAAATCCTGGTGGAGCAGGAGAAGTACTGCAAGGTGGAAATAAAGACGATAGCTCGACTGAGGAAGCGATGCAAGAACAAGGAGATTGAAGAGATTTTGAAGAAGAAGTATTTGGAGTATAAGAGTGAATTGAAATAGCAATTGTATCATGGAATTGTTTGTGGGAAAAAGGAAAGTGTCGCTTTCTCCGAAATGAAACAAACAGCAGCAATCCTCTTTTCTATACGACTGTTTCACGCAGTTCAAAAACGCATCAGGCACATCTACAGTCGCAGACTCGCTCGAGAGAAATACTATTTCCTCGCCACACCTTATTGACGAAGTTAAACGATGTCGGAACGATCAGGATCTTCTTGAGTCGAGGGAAGTCTACAGGAAAACAAGGGATGCGCGCTCCACTGTCGACAGTCAAGCGAAGAAACATGAAAAACGATTTGCTGAGAGCAGTAAACTTCCGCAAGGATTGCAGGTCTTCAATGGAATACCTCCCAGCAAAATGTACCGATAAACTCCGCCAAATTGTATTCATCAGAGGCTGCATCGTTTCCATAACACGCCCACACGCCAAATCGAAGTGAAGAAAGCGACGGCAATGTCTTAAACTGGACATTGCGTACTGAGAAGAACGCTGCATTTCCGATCTCAACGCGCTTCAACGCAGGAAGATCTGGCAAACATTAAGGGAAACGAGATGAACTACTTATAATTCTCAATGCTTCTGCAAAAAAGAAACAAAACGACAAGTCAGCTTCTTCCTCACTGGTGGTTACTGATCCGATTATTAGATCCGATAGCATAGGACAGTCTGAGTGTGAGCAATAAAATAGAAAAACGAAATATATATATAGATATATATGTAAATACCTTGAATTTCGAATTTAATAAAGTCAGAGAAAGAGTTCTTTCCTAAAGAAAGAAGACGCAGTTTTGGGTTCTTGGCGATAATGAGATGCTTTTTTTGCTGCTGCGCCAATTCTTTGTGGCGATGGTGTGATTCCCACGAATTAGTGACTACAGAAAAAGAATCATCGTTCACTATAATCTCCTCCAATGCACGCATGGAGCGAATCTCAAGTCGCTTTATAGCATGGCACGAACCCTTGCCAACGACAAATCGTTTCAGGTTTTCGCATTTCGATAGATCAATAACTGACAACGAATTGCATGAAAAATCTCCAAAAATGAGCTCCTCCAGATAGGTCGAAAACTCAATTGGAACGGAGTCATCAGAGATCGTTTTGGATAGCTCCGCAGGCTTGTCTTGGAACCATTTTCCTTTATGAATAAGCTTCCCAAAGCGGTCATATGCAGTGCCCTCCCCTTGGCGCAAGCCCGAACTCCACTCTCCTTCATATTCAATTTGCGGAGGGACAAAGTAGGGGAAATAGCTGGTTCCAACGCCTTCACGAAAACTATTCACCTCCATCCCTCGATAGATCAAGTTGTTGTCTTTGTCATATTCCTCTCCCTGCCCACAGGAGCGGCAGAGTGTAGATTGCCCTTCCCACCTGGAGCCATCAGGACTATCCAGAATAGCAAAGTCATTTGGATGTGCGAGGAGATCCATCTGCTGTACAATACGGTCATTCTCATAGAGGACAGTATTAATCAGTTTTCCCGTTTGCTTGTAGAACGAATACGTCAATCCCTCGCGCTTTCCTTCTTTAAATGTACTAATCACACACACATCCTCACAATCGCCAGAAATGTTAATCTGCGTTATTCCATCCCTTTTCCAATCCTTTAGCCTTCCAATATAGGTAGTTTGCACGACCCTGGCTTTTTTGTGCTGTTCTTTTTCTGCAACTTCTTTGCCGTTTCGTGGCCTTTTCATAACGCATTGAAATGTTAATCCCGAGGAATACTCAAAATCTATCCTACCCGCGGTTTTATTTATATTCCCTTGTGTTCTCAGTCTTTTTTCTACTTTATGTAAGATATTTCGGACGGAATGGCTAATGAATAGAGTATTATACGGATCAGGCTAATAGTGAGAAATGTCTCAAGCAACAAATACTTCTAACCTGTACCTTTTGGAATTTGTCGTAGATTCATAGACCTCCTAGTGATTTTAATGTTCCGGAAAACTTGGAAGAACTACTGACAGCGTATTATCAAGAAGTGAATCCTGAAAAGATTAGCGGTGTATATCCTCTTTGATTACTATGACGGTTTATAGGTACCTAACGTTGTGAAGAAATACAAAGGTAACGAATGGAAGTTATTTACTCGTTTATCGAAATTGTGCTTTTTGTGGATCTGAATTGATTCGTAGGTATAAAAAGGATCCCTGGCCAATACGAGCAGGTTCGGTTGAGCCTAGATTGTCACAAGAGGTCAAGGAAAAAGAAAGTCGTAGCGAGCTTCTAAATGAGGTGTATCAAGAAGTGGAGTTTTTGAAGAAGAGGCTGGACGAGGCGGAAGCCTTTGTGAAGGAGAAAAATACCCAAATAGAGGAGTATACCAAGTTGCTTGACCGAAATGGCCAGCAATTGGAGGAAATCGAGAGCGAGAATGTAGATCTGAAGCAGAAGCTTCTCGAATCGGAGGAACAGTGCAAACAGAGCTCTTCGGAAAACACGCGATTGAGCATCGCGTTGAAGGAGGCCGAAGAAGCCAAGCGAGTCTTAGGAAACGAAAAAGCGCGATATGAACAATGTTTGGAAGAGAAGGAGAACGCTCTGTTGGACCAGAAGAAACAAATCGAGGAGCTGAACGTGACGTTGAAAACACGAGAAGAGAATTCGGAGGCGATGCATCAAGAAATGGAATCCCTGCGCGCATCGTTGAAAGAGAAGGACGATCTTTCTCTCAATTTGAAGAGCCAAGTGGAGTCGCTCACATCCTCCCTGCTTGCGAAGGAGTCGTCCTCGACCGAGCAATCGGCTGAGCGCGAGCCAGTGGCTGGCGACGCGAGCGACGCGAGCGAGGCGCTGGCAGCGTTGCAAAATGAAGTGGACTCTCTGAAAAACTCTCTGAAGGAGAAGGAGAAGGTCGTGGGAACGCTGGGAGCCCAGGTGGAAACAATGTCCTGCACGATCGCGGAGCAGCGCGAGACTTGCGAGAGCATGCAACAGGAAATCAAATCGCTAAAGACTTCGATAGAGGACAAGGAGAACCTGATCGCTTCTCTGCGTGACCAGGAAGACGCATCGGCCTACATGCTGAAGGAAAGAGAAGCGCAGATTGAAAAGCTGGAGGTCTCGCTGAAGCAGAAGGAAGAGGAGCTTTCTTCGTCCTCTCTCCAGCTGCTGGAAAAGCAGGAAGACATTCTGAAGCTGACGACCACTCTGCAGTCGAAGGAAGAGGAAGTCACAAGTCTCTCCAAGCAGCTGTCCTTCAAGCGTTCCTCGCTGGACACTCTTGCGAAGAACGAAATCCAGAATCTGAAGCAGCAGCTGGAGGAAGCGGAGAGCGAGGTGTCTTCGCTGAGCAAGCAGCTGGACGACAAAAGCCAAGCTGTGATCCAGCTGCAGCATGAGGCCGAGAAGCTGCGCGAGCGAGTGAAGCCCGAGTCTTCCACGGTGGATGTCGAAGAGGTAGGGATGATTGTCTCGCGAGGTTCATTGTTTGTAGCATCTTCAGGAAGTCATGAAGCGAAACGAGGAGTTGGAATTGCAAATCGTGTCGCTCCAGCGCCAGCACGACGCACAGTGCGCCGAGACCACAAAGCAAATGGACGAGAAGGCCACGGAGATTAGCGAGTTGCAGTAGTGCCACGCTTTGATTTGGACTCTCTAGACAAACGATCGCGTCTCTCAGAACCCAGGTGACTGGGTTGGAAGGCCAAGTGACGACGCTGCAGGGAGAGAAGGATCGAATGCTGGAGGAGTGGAATGCGGACAAGCAGAAGCTGGAAGAAGAGCGCCAGGCGACGCTGGCGATCCAGAACGAGCTGCACGAGAAGGAAAAATGTCTCGCGGACACGGCTCAAGAGCTGGTAGAGTGTTGAGCTGGCGTTTTATGTAGGTGTCGGTGAAAGAGGCGATGGAAGAGACCGAGAGCAAGCTTCGCTCCTCGAAGGAGGAGCTCGAGGTGCTGCAGGGACAGCGAGCGGAATACGTCGAGCAAAACAAAAAGCTGGAGGAAGAGGTGGAGATCCTGAAGAAGGACAACAAGGACATGAACGTGCAGCTCGCAGACGATGTAGCCTCTCCGCCTCTCTCCGCTGATCCGTAGCTAATTTCCAAGCTTCAGTCCAGCGGAAGCAGTGAAAAGGGCTCGCCACTGCCGACCGTGTCCGCCGCCGTGGACGCGTCCGCCTTCACGTTGAAGACGTTCCTGATCTTCTTAGAGACGATTTTGTCCAAGTAGGTACAACAGAGAGACCACGTGATTCGAAGGGAACTGCTGTCTACCAGCGATCTCGAGAAGCGTAGCGATCTGCCGACACGTTCACTTGTAGCTATCGCTGAATCGGACCTCCAGCAGATCCAAAAGCTTCTTCTGGATCGCGTGATCACCGTGCAGAATCTGCTGAGCTTCGGAGTGATCGAGAAGCCCTGGGTGAAGGACGACGTGTCAAAGGTGTGCCACAATTGCCATACTCAGTTTACCTTCGTGAACAGAAAACAGTAGTATTTGGGGAGGTGCATTGATAGAATAGTCACTGCAGGTGTTGTGGAAGCGCATTCTGCGGCAAGTGTGCGAACAAATATGTTACGTTGCCAGGAGACAGTACTAGTAAAGTAAAGGAGTGTGGGATTGGTGATTGTTAGCGCGTTTGTGATGATTGTTTTATTGTTTTCGATCGTCTCTCCGGATTTCTTCTTCAAAGAAGTTAAGTTGTGATATTTTATTTTTTTATTTCTCGTTTGTTGTACAAATGATTCCATGGTTTTTTTTACTGGTCATGGTTGAGATGCGATTGACTACTGTCAAAATAAGCGGGTAGAAACATGCGCATTCAAAAATACTCTGCTTCCATACCTTGCATTTTCCTTGCTCTTGTGTGTTTGTCTAACAATTGACAAGATTTGAAAAAAAAACTTAACAGGGAGGGGATATACAAGTCTCAGAGGAAAATTCAGCTAGAAGAGTGGTTCCCCCTGGGTTGTGCGTTTCATTCCACTAATCCAAGAATGAAACTCCCAAAATCTCGAAAAAGCCTACAATTCCATTAGGATTGAAGTATCCATCCCTTAAACAAGGTAGGAATTTGGATCAGCGCTTGGTTATCTATCTAGTTTAATTTGAATAGACTCTGTACAGCGAAGAATGGACGCAATATCAAAGCACGCATATATGGCTAGAATTTCCGAGCAAGTCGAAAGATATCAGGAAATGGTCGAGCATATTAAATATGTAGCCTCCCATCCTAAGGAGGGTCAGGATCATGTTATTTTGACGAAGGATGAGCGAAGTTTACTCTCTGTTGCTTACAAGAATGTCGTAAGTTGCAGAAGAGGGTCTTGGAGATCCGTCAAATCTTCAGAACAAAAGGAAAGTGCTCACCCTAATAGTACTGTTCTCCCGTTGATCATTGAGCTTCGAGAGAAGATTGAGAAGGAACTTACGGATATTTGTATGGAGATCATTGGTCTGCTTCGTGATTACCTGATTTTTGATGGAAAAGAGAACGTGGAAGATCAGGTCTTTTACCTGAAGATGGTCGGTGATTATTACCGCTACCTTGCTGAGTTCCAGACCGGCGAAGACCTTGAGAATTCCAAGATGAATGCTGATAAGGCGTGCGAGATTGGCTGTTTTCTTAACGTTTAGATACCAAGATGCCATGAAGAGAGGTCAGGAAGCGAATCTCTCTCCTACGATCCCTGTGCTTCTGGGTCTGGCTCTGAACTACTCTGTCTTCTATTATGAGATTTTGAACAATCCGGACAAGGCCTGCGAACTTGCAAAGCATGCTTTCGATAAAGCCGTAGCCGATCTTGACTCACTGCAGGAGAACGATTACAAGGATGCAACGCTGATTCTCCAGCTTCTTCGTGACAACTTGACTCTTTGGACGACCGACGTGGAGCAGAACTAGGTGTGATGATGTATATTGATTGCGTTGTTTGTGCGAAACAGCAATGGAGTCATTGATGGTTTAGTAGTAGTAAAGTTACGAATTCTATTATTTCTTTTCTTTCTTTTCTTTCTTGTCCTTCTTCTCTTTCTTCTCCTCCTTGTCCTCCTTCTTTTCCTTCTTTTCCTTCTTCTCTTTCTTCTCCTTCTTTTCTTCCTTCTTCTCTTCCTCCTCCTTCTTCTCCTCCTCCACCTTCGGCTGCACCTTGTACCACTCCGCAGGCGTTTTCTCGTTCGGCTTTCCGTTCTGCCGCTCACGCTCCTTCCCCTCTCCCTACCTTATCCAGCAGTCCGCTCGCGATCATCTGCTTCTTCTTCTGCGCGACCGGTCCCAATCCCCACCGTCTCGGATACGTGTCTCTCTCCATGATCACTCGCTTCAGCTTGCACACAATGCCATGATCGCACGACGCCATCACCGCCGTGGTCATCTATCCCTCAGCGTCCTCGCCCGCGCCCACCTGCGCCACGCCGATCGCGATGGCCTCTCCCTTCGTCGTCATCAGCACCACTTCGTCCCCGATCTCGATGCCGTCCGAGAAGCGCAGCAGTCCGGGGATCATCAGCTTCGCGCCGTAGCAGATCGCGTTCACCGCCGAGTCCTTCACCACCACCTTCTTGTGCTTCAGCAGCAGAATCTCCAGCGGACGCACCACGCGGCGCAGATAGCTCTCGTCCTACGCGTCAGCGCCAAACCGAACTCCCACGCGGCGCGTGTCGTAGACCCACTGCGCGTCCAGGACGTCGTGCATCGTCACGATCCCGTCGTTCTCCGTTATGTTCCCCGATCGCACGCGGCGCAGCTCCTGCATGTGCCCGCCGACGCCCAGCAGAAGACCCAGGTGCACGCAGAGCGTTCGGATGTACGTGCCCGCCTGGCAGCTCACCCAGAACGCTCCCAGCTGCTCCTTGGGATCGTACTCGATCAGCTTGCTCTCGTAGATCGTGCGGATACGCAGCTGCCGCTTCACCGCAGCGATCAGAGGCGGACGCTGGAACAAAGCGCCCGTCAGCTTCTCCAGAGCTTGCTTTAACTGCATTTCGTTGTCGATCGCGTTGTGGAGACGCACAATCGACACGTACTCCTTACCGGCGCCTTGCTGGCTCTTCGCAAGACGGGTAGCACGGTCAATGCAAATGATCAAACAACCCGTAACCTTCGGATCCAAAGTACCGCTATGACCCGTTCTCTCGCAGCGCAATATGCGCTTCACCCAAGCCACTACCTCGTGAGAGGAAGGGTTGGCGGGCTTGTCGAGGTTAATGCAACCATAGCTAATACTCATCCAAAATCACCTCCAATACGATATGTAGTCCTTCAAGGGACGATTGAGTGGAGAATTTCCCACAGGAATAGGAGTGTAGTGGTACGAACGAACGTTCAGCTTGTCATAGTTCTTAAGCAGCAGTGGCCACTGGGAAGTATCCAATTCAGGGCTTTTAGACTCCGACTTGATCACAAACTCGTTCTCTGCGACTGTGCTCTTTTCCTTGCTCTTTTTATCTATAAATATAGTGTGTCCAAAAAGCGAATCCTTACCTCCAGCCATTATTAACTCTTGAGGTTGGTTGCGATAAAATGGGAAACTCTAGATTCCCGCGGAATTGATCCAATGCAAAATTACAACAGTCAAAAAAGATAATCGAATCCATAACATTATCTTCTAGCTGTGGTGATGATCTTCTTCCTATTCTTTCGTCAAACAGCACATTTACGCTTTAGGGGAGAAACTATTGCTTGTTAGAGAAGTTGGACGTGTCAATGTCTCAATACTGTTAGGAGCGGACTTTTCAAATTCTTTCTTCACACATTCAAATGAGTTCAAATCGAGCTGTAATTGCTGTAATTTTTATAGTTCATTGTAGTGTGTATTGAGATGGGGTAAAAATCTCTATGATATTGATGTTGCGGATGAGACGGGATTGGAGTTTAAAAAGCGTATTGAAGAGTTAACGAGTAAGGAGAGCTTGTCTGGCTAGGTTATCCTAAGGCGTTCCTGTGAAGAAACAGAATATCGTTTGTAACGCCTTATGGAAGGGGTTTTTGGATGACTCGTTCCAGTTTAATGCAGTTTCTATTCCCGCCTACTGCTCGTTCGTTCTAATTGCTTCTTCGAACATATCAGTTGCTGAAATATCAAGTAGGCGTTGGTGTACGTCCTTCCAGCTAGGTGGAGGATTTGTGGAAAATCTTTCTGAGAGTGAGGCCAGATCGAAGGGTTATCTTGCCCCCGCAGGTCTGACAAACCTAATGAACACTTGTTACGCCAACTCTGTAGTCCAGGTTCTCCACAATATCCCCGAATTGAAAGAGGGCGTGATGTCTTACAGTCTCAACAACAATCCTGGCGGGACTCCTGGCGCTCTTGTGCAGAAGCTGCGCGACACCTTCAGTGATCTTGACAAATCGACGGAGGCAGTTCGTCCGTTCGCCTTCATCAACGTATCCGTTTAGGGAGCGATTCATCGCAGGAAATTCGTCGCAGCGAAGTGTTCGGACATCGCGAACGCGGTTTGTACCAGCAGCAAGACGCGGAAGAGTTCTGTACCTACGTGCTGAACGCGATTTCGGCGACTCTTCCCACTCACACGTCCACTGGAACCTCCAACCTGGTGGACGATCTGTTCCAGATTGGCTTTCGCTGCACGTGGGATCCCACGATTTGCGCGACGTGTAGATATTTGTGTCCCGAGTCGGGCGAGTCCTACGTGACGGACGAGCACGCGGAAAAGCTGTTCTGCAACATCCGAGGCGGCGCGAACGAGGAAGTGAAGGTGAACTTTCTGGCGCAGGTGGGGAAAGCGAGCGGAGCTGATGCGCAGGGATTGAAACTGGGTCTGGAGGGCGAGGTGGAGAAGCACTCGGACGTGCTGGGCCGCACGGCGCTGTGGAAGAAAACGATGGAGATCAGCAGTCTGCCGAAGTATCTGTGCGTGATGGTGGCGGTTCTCTGCTGGGCTGATGGCGTAGTTCATGCGGTTCTACTGGAAGCAGCTGCCCGAGACGCGCGAGGGCGGCATCGCGTGCAAGATCATGCGAGCGGTGGAGTTCCCGTTCCGACTGGACATCAGCGAGTTCTGCACCCCGGAAGTGAGGCTGGCGATGAACGTAGCGTTGAAGGGGACGGGCAATGGGTAGATGGTGCGCGACACGCTGGAGAGCGAGCAGTACCAGGACTGCGTGAAGGACTATGGGGACAGTCCGGACTTGAAGAACGGAATCCTGCAATCGCTGCTGGAAGACAGCGCGGTGCCAACGAGCTCCGAAATGCCGGTGGGGTTCGCGGGGTTCTACGAGCTGTCCGGGATCGTTTCGCACATGGTAGGAGCGGAGGAGAGGCGTGAGAGGTAGGGAGACTCGGTGAAAGGCGGACATTACATTGGGTGGGTGAAGAACAAGGGGAAGTGGTTTAAGTGCGACGATGACAAGGTGAGCGCGGTCACCAGGCAGACGATTCGGCAGTTGAAGGGAGGAAGCGAAGCGCAGTCGGTGTATCTCTGCTTTTATCGTTATGTTGATTCGAATTTATAGGCGGATTGTTTGTTTGAGATAGTAGGGGTGTGGAATGAACGTTGGTGTGAAGTAGAAGCAGGAACGAGTAGTACTTTACATAATCGAACAACCCTTTGATCCAATTCGGTAGGTATGATCCATCGCACTCTATTCAAAACTTTCTCACAATTCTTCGACACAAATCTTTGCGTTATAGTGTAAATTACATAGCACCATTACTCCAAAACATCCATTGACTTTCTATTTCGACCCTTTTAAGAATCAGTATCACACTCTATCCCATCTCGATGCAACGAAAGGAAGGAACGAATGTAACACTCATAGGAATGGGTTTTCCACTAGGTAGTTGTTCCCTTTGTCCATGGTTCCATCTCTTGGTGGCTTGGTAACAATGGATATCAGAGCAATATGTACGACTGGAAAGGTTTGATAATATGACAATTTTTAATGTATAGCCTATATCCGTGGCGTAAACGGTGAAGATCTATCTACTTTCATTAAGAGCGTAACGTTTACTCTCCATCCAAGCTTCCGTCAAAATCAAAGAGGTTTGGACTTGGAAAGAGATCAACAGTAGTCATTGATCATTTTCCTTTTGAAGTTCGAGAGCAAGGGTGGGGAGAATTTGAAATTGGCATCAAGGTGGAATTCAAAAACGACGCTGAGTCTCCAGTGACTTTTGGACACTCTCTCCTCCTTCATCCTGTGAATGGAGAGCCTAGCAAGGAGAACGTGGTACGTATCTTGCTTTCCGACTGATCCACAGCCTGTTGTCAACGAGATTTATGACGAGTTTGTGTTTAGCGATCCTACAGAGTACATGTACCAATTATATCCTGTCCACAGCATTGCTGTTTCTTAACGAAAGGCTGATGACGCCCATGAAAATCCCTCCTCTGCCTTCCGAGTCGATCTATTGGGAAGCATTCAATGAAAGCGAGTGTCTTTCTATCATCATGCGTGCCCAAAACTATATCACAGATGAGCTTATTCGTAGAGCCTTCGGCGTCCATTGTTGATTCATAGGCACACGCGATGCTTTGATTTCAGCAGAACTGCAATCGGCGTCACTCCCTCAAAACCGATTGAAGCAGCAACCAAATAAATAAATAAATGGATAGATAGATAATTGAATACATGAATACATGAGTGAATGAATACATGAATACTTGAATAAAACCATCAAATAACAACGAAACCAAGGGAGCAATCTGACTCTAATTACTTGTACTTTACAATGTTTGTGACAAGGAAACAAGACAAAAAGAAACAAAATGATGTCTTAATTCGGGAACTGACCAAAGTTACTGACGATAATTCCAATGATAATGCCGTAAATTCCAAGAGCCGATGCAAAAATCTGCGCAATAAGCATCTTCGCAAAGAGCTCTCCGTTCTGGGCATCACTCAGCGCGCAACTAGACCCACAAATACCAACGGACAAGCTGAATAACACTGAATAACAAAAAGACCTACCCGCTCGTAATATTCGACAAACCCACACTAAGACCTGCGCTGAAGATCGCATAGCCAGCAAAATACATTGAGGCAATGTCATAATCAGGACGCAAGTTCCCATCGACGTAACCACTGGCAGACACTTTGTTGATAAGGATAACAGCAATGATGATCCCATAAATAGCGTTTGCTTCGCAGAAAATAATACTATTCTCAAAACTCGTTAAAACCGCTACCTAATTAAATTCTTCGATCGGATTCTAGGCGCCTTAACACAGCCTCCCATAAGAGTGGAAGCAGCGGTCCAAATACCCCTGAAAGTAACGAACAGGAAGAAAACACTACCAAGCAGCTCCAATCACCGACAGAGCTAAACCGCACGCGATTCCAATAAACGAGAGCGAATACGGAGAAATGTGCATAAAAACATCGTTCCAATCTACAAAATCGCGAAAAACAAGGAATCATACCGTCATTGTATATCGAAAGAACGCTACTCATGGTTGACACAATTAGATCAAAATGAATAGAAATAGCAAGTGAGATTTCGAGGCAAAATGATGAAGTGGAAACGTAGAAGTGAATTCAAGCATCCTAGTTTTGGGTGATATCTCACAGAATCACACGATAGGTTGATTCAAAAGAAAGAAATAAAGTAAAGATAATAGAATGGAATAAACAATGCATGTGTAAGGTTGCCAGTGCAAAAAACACGAACACTAAATTAGCTATGCCTACATAAACCAGAATTGAGTTTATCGAGCACTTTTCTTGTTCCCTTGTTAGACAGTAAGTTTTACATATATAATAGGTAATTCTCTACAAGACCTTTCCATCACTGAATTATTAAAAGCAAATATATAATTAGTTTTTACTTTAGTGATGAGTGAAACACCAATATACAGTGATGACTATGTTCAAATGTGGAAGATGGTTGAGGAATCGTTTGATCGTTTATGTACCATTTGGGATGATATTGGTGTACATAGCTCATCATCACGTGATGAGTTAAAAAGAAACTATATAGTAAGTTGCAAAACTGCATTAAGTGTTCACTTGGAAAATGTAGTGAGAGAGGAGGAAAGTGTATGTAAAGTGTATTTTCTGTACTGTAGTATCGAAAAACGCTAATCCAATCATTTGAAAAGAAAGAACAAAAGTTGAACGAGATGTGCACGAACCTTGGGTATGATATAGGAATGGTATGAGTAATATTCGATTCCTTATTTTCAGATATGGAAAAATGAAAATGGTGTAGATAGACGAGAAAACAAGACCTTGCGTGAGAAAGAGACGATTATCGACAAAATTTTGGAAGAAGTGGATCGAGTATTTTATCTATTTATCTATTTATGTAGAAATATGTTAGTCAAATGATAAAGAGTGAACAGCTTATTAATGAGCTGAAAGGGTTATATGATGAATTAGAGGAGGAGATGGAAAGTGATTTTCGTAATCCAGAAGCGTTTTTGACTGAGGGTAATCGCAATCTATTATTAGCGAGGATTAACGACATTTCTATCGTGAAGGTATTATCTAGTTTATGCTGATTATTTGTAGGAGAAGCGAATCAATGCCCGTTCTCGTTGTTTGAATGAACTAAATTCCTTTTATACCCTCCTTGGAATAACTGCCGAGAATGCCGAAGATGAGTTTGATAAGCAAGTGTTATCGCATCCTGAAGTAAGCTGTGGCCGATTCTTTTGTTTTAGACATTGTCTCTAAGGAAGAGCGACATTGAAAAACTGTATCATCGATGTAATGCACTCTCCGAATTGCAGGTAAGGATAATCGAATGGGATCTTTTGGGATAGACCGACCGAATCAACATTATAAACCAGTACATGCAGCAAATCGAAGCGCTCTGGAAACTGCTGGAAACGTCTGCGGAGGAGGTGGACGCCTTTTCGGCCAAATGCCAGATTAACTTGTCGAACGAGACGATTTCTCTGGTACGCGAGTCACCCATTGTTAAGAAATAGCACGAAAACTATCTCCACCAACTGCAGGAGCAAGTGAAGCAGCGACTGACGCAGCTGATCCCCGCGATTCGTGAGGAAATCCAGGGTTTGTGCTGTGAAGAGAGTCGATGTTAGGCGTAATCGATTACATCTGCGCGTACAGCAACGTCCTGCAGAGCTGGGATTTGTCGGTTTTGCAGGCCTCGCCCGGTATTTCTGATCGTTCCGACTGACGGCAGAGAACTTCACGATGGAGCTGTTCGAGCAGCACAAGCAGCTGTACGAGCGACTGCGCGAGGCGAAGAGCACGCTGGACCCGGTGGTGGAGAAGATTAACAAGCGGGAGAAACTGCTGAGCACTCGACTGGAGCTGGAGGCGCTGCGCAGCAACCCGAATCGATACTCCGATCGGCGATATAGCAATAAATAGTGCGCGCTGGAACGATTTTCAAGCGTAGTTTACAGAAAGAAATCCAGATGAGCAAGGAGCTGGCGAGACTACCGTTCGTGAACAAAGAATGCATGCAGGCGATTAGCAGCTATGAGGCGCAGTATGGGGAGATCGTTATGAACGGAAAGCGATATATGGATGAGCTGAAAGAAGAGGAGATCCTGTCTCCGAGAAAGGTTGGAATGTGGATGGACTGTGAGGGTAGACGATGGCGTCTGTGCAAACAAGAATACCGAAGAGAATGTGATAGTGTGTAATCTGTTCCTCAGTTTAGTTTTTCAATTCTCCTCTCTTTTGTTTCTAAAACGAAGTTTATAGTTGTTTCGATTGTTCGCAAAACATTTTCATTTCCTAGCCACAACGAGGAAGGAACTATAATTTGAAATCGAATAGGACCCATTAATGCAAAATCATAGTAGATATAAATAGCGAAAAGGGAATATAGATTCGATGCTGTCCCAAAAAGGAATTTGGGTCCATCCAATCTCTTTGAGTCGTTTTCATCAGTAGTGTTTGCCGCATTCATTTAGTCATGCCATTTAAGCGTAGGTAAGTATTTGTTCTAGTCGAAAAAGTGAAAGCAATGCTCGAGTTGTTGGAAATTGGGTTTAATGGCTTTCTAGAAATCACGGTCGTTCGAAGAAGGGTAGAGGTCATGTGAAGCCTGTCCGTTGCACTCACTGTGGCCGTTGTGTGGGAAAGGTGAGTTGTTGTTGTTTTTGCGTGATGGGTTTAGGATAAGGCCGTGAAGCGTTTCCAGGTGAGAAACATTGTCGATGCCTCGTCCCAGAGAGATATTCGTGATGCTTCTGTCTATGAACGTAGAATTTGGTGAAGGGTGAGCTAATTGCGTAGAGTACACTCTCCCCAAGCTGTACATCAAGCAGCAGTACTGCGTGTCGTGCGCTGTCCACGGTCGTATTGTCCGTGCCCGTAAGGTTGAGGACAGACGCATCCGTGAGTACGTGCGTCCTCAGTTCAAGGGAGTAGGCTTGTACAATTGAACTAATGGATAGGATCGTTCTTAACGTCTTAAAGGAGCGATTCGTCAAAGGATGTTGGCAATATTGCTTGTTTGTTTTAGAATTGTCGTTCTGTGACTCAATGCTTATAGCAGAGTGGACAGAATATGGTAATAGAGACATAGTTTCGACCCCACCAATTTGTAGTTTTTTTCGAAACAGGATGGCTCGTTCAGAAAAAGGGTAGGAAGTAGGAATCCATGCTAATTTTGTAGAGTTGGCTTGCATTTTCAAAGTAATGATTGTAGAGTGAACCGATGGAAATAGAAGAACAACAAACTACACCTGTATCTAAAATCGTGATTAGTTTGACGAATAGTCTCATGAAGACCAAAGAAGCGTCCACGAAGAAGCTGAAGCGGAAGACGAAATGCAGAGCGATCGAACATCCGAATATTCAAAGGTACACGCTTGGAGTGATAGATGAAATGTAGTCGTTAGCAGCTGAAAACGCAGACGATGCAGACAGCGACGTAGGGAATACTTGGAATAGTTTATAGAGTGGGCATCTGTAACTTCAACTCGTTCTCGACAAGAAAAGCAAAAGCGTTTGCTCGATTTCTTAGTAAAGCAAAGCCCTGTATTTGGCGGTTTTATCGAGTCAAGCAAAAAACAAACTGCTGCAACGCGTGGGAGGTAGTTGTTCCGAGTTCCAAATGACTTGAAGACGTCGGCTGAGCATTGATAAGACGGGTGATAAGAATGAAGACGAGGACGAGTCTCTCTCTCCCAGGGATGAAGATATCATTCATCTACAGACCCAGCCCTCGTGCATTCAAGGAACAATGCGCAGCTACCAGATCGATGCTTTGAATTGGCTGCTGCACCAACACCAACTGGGATTAAATAGCATATTAGCAGATGAAATGGGTATTCAACAGGACGATTCTGATTGATTGCTAGGTTTGGGGAAAACGTTGGAGACGATCTCTCTCTTGGGCTTTTTGAAGCAATATCTGTCGATCAGGTTGTCTGTGGATAGAGTGAATCGATTATAGTGGTCCTCACTTGATTTTGGTTCCGAAATCGACGCTTGGCAACTGGGTGAATGAGATCCAAAAGTTCTGTCCGTCGCTCCGCGTCTTGCGTTTTCATGGCACAAAAGAAGAGCGAATCGACTTGAAGCCGATGGTTCGCGAGAAAGACCGAAGCTGGGACGTGCTGATCACTACGTACGAAATGTGTGTGATAGAGAAAGGCCTGTTCCAATCTGTGGACTGGAACTATTTGGTAATCGACGAGGCTCATCGGCTGAAGAACGAGAACAGCAAGCTGAGTTTGGTTCTGCGCCAATTTTCGGTGAAAAACCGGCTTTTACTGACGGGCACTCCGCTCCAAGTAGGACGCGACGATCGCTCGTTTATGAGTAGAATAATCTGCACGAACTGTGGGCATTGCTGAACTTTTTAATGCCCGAAATCTTCGGCTCGCAAAGCGTGTTCCACGATATGTTCAATTTGGAGGAAGACGCTTCTCTCCAACAGAAAGAACAGATGATTCAGCAGCTTCATCAGGTGTTGGAGCCGTTCATGCTGCGTCGCCTGAAGTCCGACGTGGAGCATTCTTTGCCTGTAGATGTTTTTGTGTTGTTGATGATGATTCCAGCCCAAAATCGAGACGATTCTGTATGTCGGCATGTCCTCAATGCAGAAGGAGTTGTATAAGAAGGTGCTGGTGAATGATTATGAAAGTGTGAGTCGATGGATGATGCGATTCTATCTCAGATCGTGAATTCGCGCGCAGAGCGATCGCATCTCCTGAATCTTTTGATGCAACTACGCAAAGTCGCCGGTCATCCGTATTTATTCGAGGGGGTGGAGGATCGTTCGCTGGATCCGATGGGAGAACACGTGATCACGGTAGAGAAAGCTGCGGAATCTGAGTCTAGAATTGCGGAAAAATGGTGTTACTGGACAAACTGCTGAAGCGATTGAAGGAAAAGGGATCGCGCGTTCTCTTGTTCAGTCAGATGCGTCGGGTTCTGGACATTTTGGAGGTTTCTGCGAGGTGAATCGATTCTGATTGGTAGGATTATTGTAATATTCGAGGCTTCGAGTACTGCCGCATTGATGGAAGCACGGAGTCTGTGGATCGCGAAGAAGAGATCAACAGCTTCAATGCGGAGAACAGCACGAAGTTTGTGTTTCTTCTTTCTACGCGGGCGGGCGGTCTGGGAATCAACTTGGCGACTGCGGACACGGTGATTCTCTACGACAGCGACTGGAACCCGCAGGTAGAGCAGGCGAAGGACGGCTCGAATCGTAGATGGACCTCCAGGCTGAAGATCGCGCTCATCGCATTGGGCAGAAGAAGACGGTGAATGTGTACCGGCTCGTCACGGAAGGGACAGTCGAGGAAATGATTGTGGAGCGAGCCAAATTGAAACTGCGACTGGACACATTGGTGATTCAGCAGGTAGGCGATAACGGGATGAAGTTTTACGAATTAGGGACGTTTGCGCGAGAAATCGTCGCTTTCCAAAGAGGAGATGATGGAGATGATTCGGTTTGTGCTTTCGCTGCGTGTGTGAACCGTAGACATGGAGCCAACGAAGTGTTCTTGTCGACTGCAAACGGGATTCAGGACGAAGACATCGATCGCATATTGGAATCGGGTCATCAGCGAACCGAGGAATTGGCGCACCGCGTCGAAAAGGCGCTTCCGTCCGACGAGCAGTAGCGATTTGCGCGCCATTCGATTGTGGATAGATTGCTGAACTTCAAGATCGATCACTCGTCGATTTCCGTCTACGAAGGCGTGGATTACACGGAAAAGCGAAAAGAACTGAAGCAGCTGATCCTGAATGAAGTGACATTGGTCTCGAGTTCGCGTCGAACGCGTCGCGGTGTCATTTACGAAGATCCAAACGCCGCGCACGAAGAGAGCGCCAAATCGCAGAAAGTCCGAGCGATCGTGAAGCTTCCTTCCATGTTTCCCCACCAAGTAGCGATTCTGGCGCGTCTGGAGAGTAGTTTTATGCGAAGCAGAGGATCGAGGAGCTCGCGGCGATTGCGCAGAAGAATTTCGAGGATCCGTCGTATGACCACACGGCGAAGAAATGGCTTTCGGAGGAGGAGGAGGCGGAGCTTTCGCGGCTGCTAAGCGAAGGATTCGATAATTGGAGGAAGGCGGATATGCTGGCCTACGTGCAGGCTGCGATGGATTTCGGCCCGAAGGCGTACGACCAAATCGCGGAAGCGATCGGTACGAAAACGGCGGAGGAAGTGGCGCAGTATGCGGAGGTGTTTTGGAAACGAGGCCCGTAAATGCGAAGCGTGGACGTAAAGCGCAGGAACGAAATCCCCGGATTTGAAAAGCTGGCGGAGAGAGTGGAGCGGAGTGCTTCGCGCCGTGAAGAGATTCGGTGCTATCGCGATGCGGCGATTGAACGGGTTTTGAATAGTGCGAATCCGTGGGAAATGGAGTTCAGTCGAAACCGGCAGGGAAATTTCTCCCGCGAAGCGGATTCGTTTTTGGTGATTTGCGTAGAAACGAAGGGCCGAATCGATGGATAGGTTGCCTTGTATGGATGGGATCAGTGGTCTCGCATTCGCCGCGCTGTGAACGAAGATCCGCGACTCCAATTTGATTTTTATTTGCGCTCTCGCACCGAGCAGGAATTGATGAAGCGAGCCGAAGTGTTATTGAAAGCGATCAAGCGGGAAGGAAAGCAACAGCAACAACAGCAACAACAACAGCAACAACAACAGCAACAACAACAGCAACAACAACAGCAACAACAACAGCAACAACAACAGCAACAACAGGAGGAGAAAACTCACGTATCGCAATGGGAGGAAGAAAAAGCGAGTTTGCAGCGAGACTACGAAAGTCTGACGGAAGCGGAGGCCAAACTGGCAGAGGAAGTGAAGCAGATCGACGATCGAATCGAAGAGCTGCAGGCCAAAGTTCGGGAAGCCCACGAAGCGCAAGAAGTGCAAATGAACCAAGCAGCCATCGCATCTTCGGATGCTCTGGCGAGGGAAAAACGGAAAGAAAAGCCCAGTCTCCGCGAGTTGAGCCTCTCTGCTCCTCATCTTTTCCAGCTGGTTCCGTTCCTGGACACACTCATCGCCGGCGTGATCGGAAGTCTGCAAGAGATCGTGACATTCCTGCACTTCCAAATGCCCTTTCTCTCGTACAAGCAGCTGAAAGGCTTTGTCTCCGCGGTGACGCAGAAGAAGGGGCGCAGCACTTTTACGCTGATCGACTCGCTTTACGACAAGGAGAAGGACTGCGTTAAGCTCGACGGCGAGCTGGAGATTCCCGCGGAGATTCGAGCGAAGTGCGAGGAGCTCGGACGGGCAGCTCGCTCGTCCAGTCGCGGCGTGTTCAACGCGAAGGCCTGGGTGCAGGCGCAGGAAGTTCGCTCGCTTGCCATTCGCAATCGTTTGATTGAATTCGTCGAGTCGCACAGCCCTGTGCGGTTCGAACAACTGACCAGCGAGGAGGTCTTGAAAGAGCTGCAGCTGTCCGCGTCGGAGGTTCGACTGCACGCTCACGCGGTATTATGCGCAGTGGAAGAGGTAGGAGAGGAATGGTCGATGGAGCATAGAATGGGCAGCAAGTGTGGAAACCAAAGAGAGACAGTGTGAAGAGAGCGGCTAGCAACGGAGAGGGTTCGAATGAAATAGTACAAGGAGATCTGGGAAAGAATGTAAAGTTGGAGGGAAGTGTTGAAAGCGCCGTGGGATCGACTGCTATATCCCCTTGATGATATGAACCGCTTTCATCAGACTGACGATTGCAGTTATTATTCTCACATTTAGTTTTCCTGTTGTACAATTAACAGAGTTTGTTTGATAAATCCTTTATTTTCGTAAATCGCATTTTGCTTTTACTTGCGTTATGATGTTCTTTATGTTCCTATCGTTACTGCTTCTTGTGAGTGCTGAATCATCTCTAGTGGTAAGGTACAGAAGCGGGATAATATTAACAAACAAACAAACAAACACATTATTGACCTGTAGGAGATCTTGAGCGGGTAGTTCACCGCCTAGTGCGTCACTACCTTCTAGCCTTGGACTTCTCTCCAGTAGCCCATCTCTGGGGTCTGGTTGCTATCCCTTTATGCCATATACCATATAGAATGAGCCGTTCGTAGTTAGTCCTTTGCAAGATTATTGCTAGTTTCTCACAACCAACCAACTCATTTTACTCACCAAAAGTCTTCCCACTACCATTACGCGGTGTCTGGATTTTCTCACAATCCTTTTTTCCTTCCTTCCCAAGGCTCTCTGAATCATGATATTCCACAGACGAGGTACACAAAAACTATGACCATTTCTCATCGAACCCTTAACAATGTCGCCACAGTCCGCACAATCGATCCTTTCAATGACCCTCCGTCCCAAGAATCCTCTCGAAATATCACCAAGTCACCAAGGCCACGTAGCGAGCCTCTCAAATCCACTGAATCCTTACACAACAGATATGGGCGAAATCGGCTGTCCACAGCGATATGAGTAGAAACTTGACACGCGTCACCAGAATCCGCAGTCGAAAACGTCGTAGAGTGCCGCATTTCTTGTAGGTTCCACTCTTTTTGTTCTTTTATACACCACAGTATTATTATCAAAGTACATTGTTAATATACTATTAATAGGGATTTAATTATCACAACAGTCATCTACATGGTATTAATCTGCGATTTCTCCATTATCAGCATTACTAACGTTGGTAACACCAAATTGAACTATTTTACTCATCAAAAAAGTACGATTCCATTTTCGGCATTTAAGATGTACTGAAGCAGTTTATTATATGATTAAGGGATTAAAGCTTTTATAAGTCCTTATATCATTATTCATTTTATCGTTATATATTGAATGTATGAAAAGAAGATCAATTTGAATTGGATACTCAATTTTATACCCATAGTATATACATACACACACATATATATATATATCAAAGAATAACAAAGTGGTTTTAGATATAGATGTTGGTCATTTTGATATGGATAAATGATAGTTAACGAATAGAATATTATTTATGATAATGAGATTGATTGTAATAGATAGAAATAGAAATGAATAGTTGGTAAATGAAGTACAACAGCTTTGTTCTACTTTCTGAGCAAATTAAAGTGTATTGAGAAACGATGTTGTATCTCTAAAAGTACAAATTGATGATCAAGACAACGATGTTACTGAAATGAAGTTGTTGGTCTATTTTGATTATTCTATATATGGAGAATATTACTATTGATTATATATTAACAACAAACTAATGGAGAGCTATGATTGTAACTCCTTATTTTTTGAAGCTGTTTTTTAGGTTGCTAGGTTCCATGAATATATACAATTTCGTTTCTATATTACCTGTGGTGTCAAATATGTAATGTTAAATGAAAAAGGGTTAGGGTTTATCCACTTGCTAACTCAGTTAAAACGTTTGAGACGCTTCCTGGCTAGCCTGGGGGTTCTAGTACCTTAAATGAGATAGCAAATAGATAAATAATAAGAATGGCATTTTATGATAACTGCGGAAATTAATGCAAATAATATTACGATTCATTAATATACTATATATATATAGCACCGGTGCCCCGGCCAGACAATAGTGATCCTTGGGTTCATTGTATGTATGTAGTATATTAGTGAATCATAAAAAATATATTTCTTGGAAAAGAGAAAAATAACAATGAATGCTAACAACGGTAACGACAGCACTTTCAACACCAGCACGGATATGTACTTGACACCAGTGTCGAGTCCCAGGGCACCTAGCACGCCGGACACGCCTACACGAAGGGATGTGCAAGAACACTGGAGTGACGTTAATAAATCGGATGTGGACTTATTAGATATGGATATTTCAGACATATCCGGCATTGAGATTGAGAGTCCGATCCTATCACGGACACGGACACGAGAGGAGCCAGAAGTTGTAGATCTAACTGGTGAAGACTCCGATATGGACTCAGACAATCCAGCAGATGATTACTTCCAGGAAATGTTACAGGAGGAATGGCGTCGAAGAGACGCTATGCAAAATCAAGTTTCAAAAGCATCAGAGAGTGAGGACGATGAATCAAGAATTCCTTGTCCTGCTTCGCCAACACGGCTGCGAGAAGTTGCTGAATGGCATCCATTGCCTGAAAACGAAGAAGATGAACCAGACAAGTACGAACAAGAGGACGAGGAATGGGAGCAGGGTAGAGTTAAAAATTACGAAGAAGGTAATCCTGCTGAGGCAAGACACAGGTGGTGGAAAGCCACGATCTTCTCTGATTACCGCGACGACAGTCAGCGAGAAGTATGCTAGGCAGTCGAGCACTTCGAGAGAGTTTTCAACAGACTATTATTATTAGCTGGTATAATATATGCAGTTATGGGAATTGAAATATACCCTAAAACTCATCGTATCCACGCACACTTAATATTGGGTTTTAACAACGCGAAGGAATATTCCTCACTAAAGAAGAAGCTTGGAGACAACCAACTGAGATACTTACTTACGGATAACCAGATTATAAGCTGGTATGATTACGTAGCTAAGAGCTTTTCTAAGATCATACATCCCAAGAAGATAATAAGATACGGAGAAGAAAAAGTATTATATAAGAAGCATTCCATCTCGTGTACAGTGAAACAAACTCATCAGGATATGTTTTATGAGAATCGAAGTGCCATAGAGGAGGGAAGATTCAATGAAATCGATCCCTTATTCCGATTTGATCACATGTCCAAGATACAGAAATGGTATAAAGAACATCATAAAGCCGCGATTCGAGTAAATCACGACTGTCTTATGTTCATCTGGGGAGAACCAGGAGTTAAGATAACTTCTCTATTTTCGCGTAACATCGATCCTACACTCATCTACTGGAAGAATCTGGCCAACAGATAGTGGTGCGGGTACAGAGATCAACATATCGTGATTAATCACATCTAACACCAGAGATATTCCAAAAGGAATATTTCAGTTGGAACATTATCGTTGATAAAAATGAAGTGTACATAGAAGTGAAAGGAAGGCACATGTCAATCCAGACGCAGTGGGTAATCGTCATTTCCAACTATTCACTTGACCACTCCCACGGTCTGATTAATAACTGGTTGAAGTATGGCTTGATATCGTAATACCACTTCTTCTTCCAGATCGCGTACACTCGGTGACTTACATCTGCGAAATCTCCGTTATCGGCTGGTGGATTCTCTGGGAAGTAGTAAACACGGTATCCATCGGTCTCGTTCCCGCATCGTCTCTTAAAGGTATGCTTCCACGTTTCATTGAGTCCGCCTTGTCTGTTGGAGCATAGCGCATCAAGCGAGTAATTTGAAATCACAATTACCCATTGCGCTTGGAAAGGTACCTGACTTCCTTTACTTCTACATATATTTCATTTCGATCACCGATTAAGTTCCAGTTGATGTCGCCTTTCTGGAATTGCTGAGGTGTCACTTCATCGATAATGACGATTGGTTGCGCGCGATAACCACACCACCATTTGGTTGCCGGATTCTTCCAATAAATCAGTGATGGATCGATATTTCTCGAGAAGAGAGATGTCTTCCCCACACCTGGCTTCCCCCAGATAAAAACGAGTCGATCGTGGTTTACTTTAATGGCAGCCTTGTGCTGATCGTTGTACCACTTCTGAATTTTAGACATGTGGTCAAATCGAAATAGCGGATCGATGTCGTCGAATCTTCCTTCCTCAATCGCTTTTTGATTGTCGTAGAACATGTCTCGGTGAGTTCTTTTTACCGTGCGAGAAATGGAATGCTTCTTGTTCAGTACCTTTCCCTCGCCATATCGTAGTATTTTCTTGGGATGTAAAATTTTCGAGAAGGTTTTCACCACGTAGTCATACCAGCTGATTATCTGATCATCTGTTAGAAGGTAACGTAGTTGCCCATCTCCCAGTTTCTTTTTCAGTGCTGAATACTTCTTCGCACTACTGAATCCCAGTATGATATGCGCGTGTATTCTATGTGTTTTTGGGCATATTTCTATACCCATAACGGCGCATATTAATCCAGCCAATAGTAGTAACCGGTTGAATATTCTTTCAAAGTACTCGACAGCGAAACAGACTTCACGTTGACTATCATCTCTGTAGTCAGAGAAGATTGTGGCTTTCCACCACCGGTGTCTCGACTCGTCAGGATCACCCTCTGGATAGTCCTGGACTCTTCCCTGCTCCCAATCCTCGTCTTCCTGCCCATACTTGTCAGGTTGCTCTTCATCATCCTCCGGTATAGGATGCCATTGCGCCTTCTCTCGAAGACGAGTTGGTGATGTTGGACAGGGTACTCTTACTTCGTCGTCCTCGCTTTCTGATGCGGTAGACATGTTATCCTCCATGGCGTCTCTTCTCCTCCATTCTTCACGTAACATCTCCTGAAAATAATCGTCATTCGGGTCGTCGGAGTCCAATCCAGAGTCCTCACCCAGTAGTTCCAATGTATCTGGTTCCTGTGGTAGCGGTGCTCTCCGTGCTAAGATTGGACTCTCAATCTCTATGTCGGATATACTAGGTATATCCATGTCCAACAGGTCAACGTCGGAATTATTTACATCACTCCAATGCTCGGTCACATCTCGTCGTGTTGGTGTGCTCGGCGTGCTTGGTTCCCTAGGACTCTGCACAGGTGTGACGTACATATCCATCGTGTCCGGCGTGCTCGTGCTCGCGTTATTGGAGAATAATTGTTGGAGTTGTCAGAGTTCATATTCTTCTTAGGTTTTCTTTTTAGATTCAAGCAATTAATTCTTTATGATTCACCAATATATTATATATATACAGTGATCCCAGGGATCACCCCGCCTGGCGGGGCACCGGTGCTGTATATATATAATATATTGGTGAATCATAAAAAATTTATTTCTTGGATTAAGAAAGAAAAAAGAAAGCCATGAACGCTAACAACAATAATTCTAACAACAACACGAGCACGAGCACGCCGGACACGCCAGATATGTACGTTACACCTGTGCAGAGTCCGAGAACACCGAGCACGCCGAGCACGCCTACACGGAGGGACGTAGAGGAACATTGGAGCGATATCAACAACTCCGATGTAGACTTACTGGATATGGACATACCCAATTTATCTGACATCGAAATCGAAAGTCCGATATTAGCACGAGCACAACCTCCACAGGAGCCGGATACGCTTGAGCTACTAGGCGAAGACTCCGGATTGGACTCGGACGATCCGAATGACCTGTACTTCCAGGAAATGCTGCAAGAAGAATGGCGTCGGAGAGACGCAATGCAAGATGATATATCGACAGCATCCGAGAGTGAAGACGACGTGGTAAGGGTACCATGCCCTGCATCACCGACACGTCTTCGGGAAAAGGCGGAATGGCATCCTCTGCCGGAAGACGATGACGAAATGGAACCACGTGACAAGTATGGGCAAGAGGATGAAGCCTGGGAGCAGGGAAGAACACCTGACTACGCGGAGGGAGATCCAGACGAATCCAGACACCGGTGGTGGAAAGCGACGATTTTCTCTGACTACCGGGACGACAACCAGCGAGAAGTGTGTTTCGCAGTGGAATATTTTGAAACTATTTTTAATCGCTTACTGCTCCTAGCTGGATTGATCTGTGCAGTTATGGGCATAGAAATATGTCCAAAGACACACAGAATACATGCCCATCTCATATTGGGATTCAGCAGCGCAAAGAAGTACTCAACACTCAAGAAGAAGATTGGAGACGGACAACTGCGCTACCTACTGACAGACGACCAGATAATAAGTTGGTATGATTACGTGGTGAAAACCTTTTCAAAAGTATTACATCCCAAGAAAATATTGAGATATGGCGAGGGAAAAGTTCTTAACAAGAAGCATTCTATATCTCGTACCGTAAAGAGAACACATCGCGACATGTTTTATGACAACCAGCAAGCAATTGAAGAAGGGAGATTCGACGACATTGATCCATTATTTCGATTCGATCACATGTCTAAAATTCAAAAATGGTACAACGACCAGCACAAGGCAGCAATCAAGGTGAACCACGACCGACTTGTATTCATCTGGGGAAAGCCAGGTGTAGGTAAGACGTCACTATTCTCCAGAAACATCGATCCGACACTAATCTATTGGAAGAATCCGGCAACAAAATGGTGGTGTGGATATCGCTCACAACCCATTGTAATTATCGACGAAGTAACTCCACAGCAATTTCAGAAAGGAGACATAAACTGGAATCTAATAGGTGACCGTAATGAGATCTACGTCGAAGTCAAGGGGAGTCAAGTGCCCTTCCAGGCGCAATGGGTGATAGTCATATCAAACTACTCACTTGATTCCTTATGTTCTAACAGACTGGGTGGTCTCAACGAGACGTGGAAACACACGTTTAAGAGGCGATGTGGTAACGAGACGGATGGTTACCGTATGTACTACTTCCCGGAAAATCCACCGGCTGACAACGGAGATTTCGCAGACGTCAGTCACCGAGTATACGCCATCTGGAAGAGAAAGTGGTATTATGACATCAAGCCGTTCTTCAACAACATCATGAATTTCCCTTGGGACCATTATAGTGTTTGTTACAAACATAAAAGAACAATTGATTATAAATAGCAGCAGCCGTTCCGAAACCTCCACCTAGACCACCTATAGCATTCACAGCCGCCTTCATCTGCTTCGAACTCAAGAAGCTACGAACGGAGCGCCAGACCTTACGGAAATCGTTATACGACGCGGGATAAACAGCAGGCAGACCAGCATTGATCTGTGACGCCAATTGAATAGCCTTCATATCCAGGTATGACTTGTGCGTCTCCAAGACAGAGAAACCACTCTCATAGGAATAATGACATTGCCAGCCGGCATACACACGGAACAACAAAGACTGCGCAACATTCATGGATTCCACAGCAAGACACACCCAATTCAGATTACAAGACCATTGAATCGCAATCCGATCAGGTTCAACCTTAAAGCGGTTATCATAACTATACATCTGATCCCACGTAATTGTCTGCTGGCCATAACCTTTAATGTCCTCCAAATGAGCATTGTCTTCACAAGAATAAAGAGCACGCGTTCCTGTATACTGCTGAACCATGTAAATACCATTGGGAAGAGCGTAATTGCTAAAACCTTGAGCCGCATTCGAAATATTATCAGCGCCAACAGGCAACATGGAAGTTCTCCATAACTTTTCGATGGACTCAGAAGTTCCAGCAGTTGAAGTAGCTACATCCTCAAATGGAATCACAACAGGAGCAGCAGTCATGGAACCTTCATTATTGTACTGATTACCAGTATAATGCATCGTGCAACCTTTATACATGCAACGCAATTCAGCGACACCAGCCTTACCTCCAGAAATAAATGCAGTAGTATTAGCATCAGACACATACACAGCTCTCTGCTGACGCATAGCAGTAGTGTTATTCATAAAATAAAACCACCCGATTACCATAACAGGAAAATCAGGAAATGGAGTTAAATATACAGAGAAATCGAGATCAGGCGGCGTATCGCCTTGATAGTCTGGAGACACAAAGAAGTCACGATCAATAGTAAAGTTAAAATTAGACTGCAAGCAGATCGAAGGAGTATTATCCTCGTCCGGGATTGTCTGACAGTTACCATGAGCAGGATCAATATAAGAAGCCAACCAACGTGCACCATCAGGAGTATCACAAAGAGACGGTAAGTCAGTACCTAAGTAAGCAGCAAGTGCCATAAAAAATAATGACAAAAGCACAACAACACAAAAAGCACAAAGCGCACCGTGCGAAATAGAACAAAATTAGACACTTCATAATTTTTTTAATGGTTTGGAGATATGCCTATCGTAGATTTCCTAGGCGTCGATATGTGTACCCCTCTCGTAGACCTTTTAGAAGAACTCGGTTTCGAGTCTCTAGAAGACCTCGACGAATGGGTTACCGCAGACCCTATAAACGCCGTACAACTAGACGTCTATTTAAACGGTATCGCCGAATGCGCAAGATCATTACAGAAAAGAATAAGCAAAACACACGCGGAATACTTCGATGGATTAACGACAACAGGGCATTCTTCCTGGCTTGCAACCAAGAAAACGGAGCAGAACCACAAGGAGACACTCCAACACAAGACGCCCTATACACAGCAATCCGATATCTAACAAGAACCTGTTGGGCTGCAGCAAGATATATATACAAATACAGAAGAAAGTTCAGAGTGTTCCCTAAATTATATGCAATGAATAAAGACAACAATGCAATCGAAAACAGCATAAACAACATACCTCCATCTATTGCAACCTCTAAAGAATTCTACGAATTATTACGCTTAATGAAAAAGCAAAATCCAAGAAGCGAGGACTGGAAAGCCGTTATGACCCGACATGAAACAGCAGGAAGCCTTGCAGTAGCCGTCACGGCATCATCCATAAAGACACCAAAGCTGGAGTCACTAATTGAAACACTATTCTCTAACAAACCTAAAAGAACACTGGGTCTAATCATTATTGGACAACTCGTCATGCTTAAAGTAATGATATCCTCCTACAACATCGTTCCACTACAAAGTACTTACCAACGTATTATAAAGACTAATCTCTAGAACTGTTTGTTAAAATCAAAGACATACCTCAAAACTTCAATATGCCAGAGACTTCGGATAGCGACTCAGATGACTCCAGTAGTTCAAGCTCTAGTGATGATGGAGGAAACAACGCAGCAATGGATGTGGAATCCAATTCCGAAGACAGTGACATGTCAATTCAAGAAGAACAAAACAATGGTCAACCACCTCCGGAAAATCCTCCTGAAATGGTATATCCTGAGGAATACTACCAACCTATATTTACAAACAACGACTACGAAGGTGAGAGAGTAACACCAGAAGAATTCAATATACCACCATTAAGAAATATGACTTTGAATCAAATATTACAAACCATGGACCAAATACCTGATGACGAACAACAGAGCACAAAAGAAATGAGCGAAGATCCTTATGAAGGATGGGAAAGTGACAGCATGGAAACAGTACTCAGCTCAGACACTGACACAGATGATGATGATGACAAACCTAAAAAAACAAAACAAGGAGTACTGTACAACCCAACAATAAATATTCAAAACCAAGCACCTACTGTAAATATACAAAATGAAGCTCCTACTGTTAACGTACAAACAGCTGCACCTACTGTAAACATACAAAATGAGGCTCCTACAATCAACGTACAACTACAGGCACCACCAGTAAACATCTATATACCAGTGGCTCTAACAAGAGAACTAAGCTATACAGCAGTCATCAACAACACAGAAAATGTACCTCTGCAAACAAGACCAAATGAAAGAATACGATACATACCTATGTACTCAACCGATCCAAGAGGACCTCCTCCTGCTCCAGGAGCTCAAGCCATACAAGAGGAACAATCAAGTCAATCACTACCTTTTCCTCCGCATTACTCAACTACATCAATGGATAATCCTAATCCACCACCAGATCCAGCTCCAGCGCCAGTAGCAACTGTAACACCTCTACCTAATATATGGCAAGACCAACAAACCGCAGAACAAATGCAAAATGAAGAAATTGAGAACGTTACAATTGAGAAAAATTTCAACAGCGCAAGCGACATACCTAAAGAGCCACAAAGTGTAGAACCTATAAGTATCGACATGTTTGACGGAATGGGAGACAGCACTAAAGAAGCTCTATTCCAAGCAGCCGAAAATGAAAGTGTACTACCATCAAATCCTACACCATCTCTAAAATCAGAACTACCATCGGTCAACTCTATGGGAGAATTCACAGATCCAAGTGTTGAAAAGAGCAGGGTAAGAGGAGTACAATGGAGAAAATTAAAAGAAGTAGCAAAAGAAATTAGAAAGTTACACGGAAAAACAAAACGAGGAATGAAACATATTGGAAACACAACTTCAAGTGAAAAATACATCACAAAAAGAGGTCATGATTATATTAAAAATTATGTACAACATTCCCTAGAAGAAATAAGAAGTGTACCTGCATTGTCACAAGAAGAAATAGGACCAGATGGACTACCAACCAACCTGGACTACAGAAGAATAATACAAGAAGTACAACCACACCTATCAATATATCAAACACACTGGCCAGAAATGTATGAAAAATTCATCAAGGAATATAACAGAGTAATGAATTCAAAATGTCATGTTTGTTATACACCTGTGCTCGTGCTCGTGCTCGTGCACGGAACACAATTAGAGCATATATAAATGCTCAGAATATATATACTTATGATTCATTTATATATATATATCCGTGTCACCCTCCGGGTGAGTGTGCGTAGCACACACGGATATATATATATAAACAAACAAACAAACAAACAATTCATTGACCTGCAGGAGATCTTGAGCGGGCCGTTGACCGCCTGTTACGTCCGTACCTTCCGGCCTTGGACTTCTTCCCAGTAGCCGACCTCTTGGGTCTGCTTGCTATCCCTCTGCTCCAGATACCAAAAAGAGTAAGCCGATCATAGTGAGTGCTTTGCAAAAATTTTGCTAGTTCCTCACATACAACCAACTCACTCCTCTCCCCAAAGAACTTCTCACAACCAATACCTGGTATCTGGATTTCCTCACAGTCCTTCCTTCCTGTGTTCGGGACCCAATTATCCCTCCCATGGCTATCCGAACCATGAATCTCCCCAGACGAGGTACACACAGAGCCAAAACCATTTCTCATCGAACCCTTGACAATATCTCTCCAGTCTGAACAATAAATTCTTTGAATGACCCTCCGTCCCAAGGATCCTCTCGGAATAACACTGCAATCACCAAAGCCACGTAGCGAGCCTCTCACATCCACCGGGTCCTTACACAATAGTTATGGGCGAAATCGGCTGTCCACGGCGATATGAGTAGAAACTTGACACGCGTCACCAGAATCCGCAGTCGAAAACGTCGAATTAGCAGTCGTCGAAGCAGTCGTCGAAACAGCGCGAGAACCTTCGTCGTTCTTGTCCGGAGTAATTCCAGTTAACGGTAAGCTCTTCCCAGTCGTCCGTAGGGTCTGACATTCCGTATCCTTCCTATCGATTAAAGGTATAATCTCGGGGGTCTGAGAATCCTCGTCATCCGTGGGTGACTGCCGGTGTGTCACCCCTTTCGATCCTTGTGCAACACGATCGTTGCGTAACTTGAAAGCCAGCAGAGACTCTATTGGCTCATTGTCTGAAGTAGATCTGTCGTTTGTCGACAATCCGTGGGTGTCTCTCCATGTCCTCTCCTGTACCAGTCGTAGACGTTTTCGGTTCGACGGGTCCAAGACAGTCCTCCTACTGTCAGTCCATCTTCATCTTGTCCTTGTTCCAGTCTTGTCCAAAGTCTTGTCCTTGTCCGAAGTCTTGTCTGAAGTCTTGTCCGCAGATAAATCCTTGTCCTTGTCTGAGCACTTGGTCGCGATCTTGAAAAACTCGTCGATTCCAGACTGTCTACTCTTCTTCCTACCCGGTACCTGTGGCAAAGAGGTCACCTTAACCGGCGCCGAAAAGCTAGTTGGTGGGTGTGATAGCGACACAACTAACCAACTTTTCCCTCTCAGGCACGCCCCCAGGCGTCGAAACTCTCCCGCTCTCTACT